TGTTCCTTTTTGGGTAAGCAGAAATCTAACATACTGTAGAAGAGCATAGAAGGAAAAAAGCCCCAAAGCTTCGTCATTTATCACCAGAGCCCTAACAACTCTGCAGCTCATACAGCCTAATGGCTCAATTATTTTAGTAAAATGGTCCCCACATGTTTAAAAGTGCAGCTATGTTGATGCCAAGGCGTTAGCTATGCCAGAACAAATGTCCCGTACTTGAAAACAAATAATTATGCATTAGTACACAAGCAGAGACAGATATGAGAGCATTATATGCACTGACAGCCATGTTTCTTTAACAGTTACATTATGTGATAAGTATGTAAACCTCTCAGACTACAAATGTTAAACACATGAACTCAGTGCTGGGTGCTTTGCTGCAAACACTACAGGTGGCAGAATGAATGAGGAGAGTGGCTCCTGTGGAATATAAGCTGTAACCAGTTTTTAAAAAGTCCTTAAAAGTGCAAGACGTCTTTTTGTCAAAAGCCTTTGACTCCCACGAGACACTCTCACAAACTTACACATACACCAACTGCTATTAAATCAGCTGATATTGTGGAAAAGCTACAGATATCTGGGTGTTGTTCTTGATGACAAATTGTGTTTTGAATCTCATGTCAATGCTACCTCTTTAAGAAGGTACAGCAAAGACTGTTCTTTTGAAGGAAAATTTTACATTTTCTGTTTCTTCTGAAATGATGACTCGCTTTTATGAAAGTTTTATTGAATCTGTTTTAAAAGTCTGTATTTCTGCATGGTTTGGAAGCCTGATCTTAACCAATAATAACAGACTTGTAAGTGTGTAAAAGCAAGTAGCAAAATATCAGGGAGTGGTCAGGCCGGGCTTCTGACCATTTACAGTATAACAAGCAGGTCCTGAGGAGAGCTAAGGCTATACTGGTCTGCTCTAATCACCCACTTCACAGTGAGTTTACCATCAGGTCGTCGTTTTAGAGCTCCGGTGAGAAAAACTAAAAGACTCGGGTCTCATTCGTCCTGGTTGAAATGAAATAGCAATTAGCTTTGGTTGGTCTTTTTGCACTTTAACTGCACATTTGCACACCACCTCCACTTTGCACTTAACTCCTTTGGTAGGAATTCCCATTTTGGTATGAGCTCTTGACTGATTTTATTGCAATGTTTGATATTGTTTTATATGTTGTTGTTTTTTTAAGGTTTATTTTGGGGCTTTTTATGCCTGTATTGGAGAGATAGGACAGTGGATGGACTTAGAAATCAGGAGAGAGTTGGGAATGACATGCGAGAGCCACAGGTCAGATTCAAACCTTGGCTACCCGCTAGGACCACAGCCTCCGTACATGGGTCTCACACACTAACCACTAGGCTACCGGCGCCCCCGTTGTCTGATTTATTTTTACTTTGTTTTAATTAAGATTTTACGATGATGTTCTCCTTGTGTTTGTTGTCTTCTGTGTGCTCCTACACAGTTTCCCTTGTGGGGCAATAAAGAATCTGAATCTGAGTCTGAATCTAAATATACACACACATGCACACACACGCGCACACAAATCTCTGTTTTTAAAATGAAGAAGTACTCTTGTTTCATGCGAATCAGCTTTTTAAACTTGGTAGAAGAAAAAAGTACTTGGTCTATAAAGTAACCTTTATAAGTGATAAAACAGTGCCCCCTACAGGCGAAATACTCACACTGTCAAATAGATTCAACTCAGACCTTACAAAGCTCACTGAAGTGTATAAAATCGTTTTCCTTACACATTTATGTAATAGAGGTTGTATTTTGCTTGCATCTATTAATTACTGATTAGATCATTTATTTAGAGGTTCAATTGTAGAAGTTGTGCAATGAGTTCAACAATATGAGTTGTTGGATTTTGCTTGCTTAGAAATACATTTTAATGTAGCTAAAAAGAAAATGGATTTAAAAAAAGAAAATGAACCTCCCACAATAACAATACAATACAGTTTCATGAGGTATATAAGCATCTTTGTTTGTAAAGGTCAAACACATTAATGTAATCAGACATGTAGAACTCATGTATGTGTCGTTTCAACAGCTTTCTAGTAAATTCCGTTAATTAAATATAGGCTATACATTAAACTTTTAACTATTACATAAATATATTATCCCGATTGCGTATCAAATGTTAATATCAACTTGGGAAATATTCTGTCTGTAATGTAGATGTGACTGTTTTCAACTACTTTTGGTTCGTTACGATCAGTATAGTCTTAGCTTTTGTATCCAAGGCCTGACTGAATTGAAGACAGTAACACACTATGTAAAGTTTATTCTTACGAGTGTTACCTACAATTGAGTAAGGCCCTTATATGTCCTGTGAGATGCTTATGGTTTTGTAACTAGGACTTTATATGTGTTCATAATAGGCTGCTTACCAATATGGGCTGCAAAATATTTAAAATTGAGTCATCATTGTCATGTTTCTTTCATTCAGGAATCTGCGACACTTAAGCTGTTTGCTTAAACTGGCTAGCTTATTGATACCACAGGTTGATCGATCCAAATATTGATTTCTAACACTTGGGGTTAGACCCTCACATTAGCTTGGTGTATATCCAAACAAGTTTGCAGAATGTCTGCAAATTTATGTGCTTTTTTTATTAACTACATTTTTATTTAAAAAAAGCCTACTGGAAGTCCAACAGAGTCAGAGTGGTAAAGAGAAGAGACACCACAGACTGTCCCTGATTGTGGAAATTATTGGTTGCTTAGATATTCACCCAGCATACGAAGGCCTGGTATCTTGGGATATTTTCATCTCTGAATACTGTAAATATTTGAGGAGATTGATAAGGTTGCCCTTTCTTGTGTCGTGTCATAGCAGTTTATACATACTCATATGTATATGAGACCGGTTTGCCCATGAAGACTTTGCTGCAGGATTATAATAAAGGGTTAAACACAACATCTACAAGAAAGAGCATTCATTCAACAATTTTGTACTCCCCAAATCATGAGTAAAGTAGGAAGTTGAATAAATCAAAATATCAACGGTGAGAAAGAACTTATAAATACAAGAAACAGAAACCAAGTTTCAGAAAAACTAATCTTGGTATAGATTTGATGTGAGGAATTAGTTTTAATAATATCCTCTTCAAAGCTCAACAGACAATAAGGAAGCACACGGAAAAGAAAAAAACAAACCAACAACAAAAGACAGTGAGGATTGTCAGTCATTTTACAGCCACCCAAAACAGCTTTTAAACAACAATCAAGGTGATATGATGCGTCTTCACATTATCTCTGTCCACCAAGTGGGATCAGAAACATTTCCTTCCAGTTCTCTCTCATTATTTTTTTTTAGAGAAGATCTCAATGTTTAGTATAATGCAACTTCACAGTGCAAGGCTGCAGTATTTGTTTCTCTTTGACTAAAAGACTCTATCCCTGAATATCTTACAGATTATAGAGGTTGTATTTCCAAAGCTGTACATTGTAAACAAGAGCTGTATTATTAAGAAACAAGATTATTGCAAGTATTTTAAAATTGTATTATTAGAGGAGCTATTTATTATACCAATAATGTACAGGATTGAAATTGCAATGTTGATAACCTTAAATCTGCCACATCACTGCTCCTTTCAGAGTGACCCGTGAAAATATGTTTCAGTGTAACAAAGTTGTCCTATTCTCTCTCTCTGACAGTTGTGACAGGGTCATGCTCACCACTCTGTTGCATCACTTTTTTCTGTAGACTTGGAATCTTTGGAAGACTTTGTTAGTGCTTTGAGAACCAGTTTCTTTACATTTCTGTTTTCTGTAAAACAGTTCCTGGTTTCCTTTGTATTATTTTGTGTTTCATAATGCTCCAAACATATTAATTGATTGAGAGGTTGGGACTGCGGGTAGACCCGTTTAGCACCCTGAGTCTCTTACAGAGACATGCTGTTGTAATATGTGCAGAATTTGGATTGGCATTGTCTTGCTGATTTAAGCAAGGCTTTTCATGAAAAATAAGCTGTGCATATACTTGGCAGTATATGTTGCTCCAAAAGACGTAAATATGGTTAAGCACTAATGGAGCCTTCATATAAGTGCAGGTTACTCATGCAATATGCACTAAGGCCTACCCATACCATCATGGATGCTGACTTTTTAACTGAGCACTGATAACAAGTCGGAGGGCTTCTCCTCTTTAGCATGGAGGATGCAGCGTCCATTATTTCCAAATATGATTTCAAATGTGAAATTGTCAGACTAAAGGACTGTTTTACACTTCGCCTCTGTCCATTTCAATGAGTCCATAACCAAAGAAGGCATGCAGTGACATCTCTGGGCCGGTTTCCTTTTTGCATGGCTCAGTTTAAGCCAGCATTTGTTAATGCAGCGGCAAATGGCGCTCACAGACAATGACTTTTGGAAGTGTTCCTGAGGCAAAGTGATGTATTCATCAGAACTGTGTTTGTTTTTAATGCAGTGCAATCTGTTAAACTGTCAATTAAGCATTTCACCACTGTTCTTTTTTTTGTTGCCAGGGACCCAACTTTTTTGTGAATCAAATTTAAATTGGGCACAAACAATTACATTCATCAGTTTCAACATTTAATGTGTTTTCTTTGTGCTATTTGCAATTAAATATCAGGATTTAAATGTTTTGGACATCACATCTTTTTTTTTTTTTACATTTTACACAATGTCCCATCAACCATTTCAATATATCAACCTATGTGGGCTTTATCAATAAAGTTTGCAAAACTAAAATATATGTTTAACTAATTGCAACTATGAGATTACAGCTGATGCAGCTATGCAGTGCATCGAAGAGCTGGTCTGAATTATGTATTTAAAGTTATTATAATAAAAATTATTAAAGTAATTTAAATCTGTATTTAAAGAGTGGGGGTCAAACATAGACTGTAATAATTTAGGGGTTCGAGGAAGTTTTTTTTTTTCCATTTATTTTTGCAAAACAAAACAAAACTTGGGCACACAGCTGACTGTCAGGAAGTTAGTGTTAGTTTGACCAATGAAATAAAGAGGAGTCCAGCAGGACGGAGTCAGCAGAGAGGACTCTTGCAGATAGCATTCAGTGTATTTGTAGCCACGTTAGCTCCCACATTAAGTTAGACGACCAGCCTTTCTTACAAGCTGCTGGACGCAACAGACGCAGAGGAGAACTGGCACTTACACAGCGACACCGCGCAAGTAGAGCAGCGGGAGTAACAAGCAAATCCTCGGGAGGAAGATATCGGTGGAGATGTGTAATAAGTTACATTGGACAATAAGGACCTACCTGGCTGCCAGTCGTAAAACCTGACAGCTGTCATCGCTCCTAGCTGCTGAGCTAACTGAGCTAACTGAGCTAACAAGTGTTTCTTTTTTTTCGCAGCCTGACTCAGTCTGTGCTCAGGGGGGGGGGGGGGGGAGCGGCGACTTCCACATAAAGTACGCATTTATTATATCCTGACTCATCTTTATGTTAATGCCTTGAGTTAGCCAAGGAGCGTCAGATATTTATGTTTGGGGTTATTTGGAGGTAGAGCTAGTTAGCTTGTATTCATCATTCAGCTAGCTCGCTGCATTCATTCAATTATCTAAAAACAGCTCCGGCGTTAACACCCAGCTCAGCGAGCCGCTTACAACCCGACGTGTTTGCGACGACACTAATAAGAGTTTGGACTTGACTCGTACTTTTTGGACATCGTCGGTAAAAGAAAGAAATGAAGAAATTTTTTGACACTCGTCGGGAGTTGGTGAGCTCCGGGCCTGGACCAGGTGCCGGAGGAGGAGGAGGAGGAGGAGGGGGCGCTGGATCCGGCGGCGGCGGCAGCTTCATCGGACGGGTCTTCACCATTGGACGGTATCAAGTGACCGTGGAGGAGATCGTCGCAGAAGGTGAATTATGTGGCTTTCTGTTTTGTCACGCAAACACATCTCACTGAAGCCACAGTCTGAGTATTGTTTTGAGGATGGACATTCAGGCCTCAAACACAAGTTGAGAAGAGTAGGCCTGTTTCTGTAAGCCCTGCATGACCACATACACAATGATATGATCACCTTTGTGTACCTTACTGACAGGAAAACCAGTCAGTAAGGTAACTTCTGTTTATAACCAGAAGCTTTCATCACACATCAGGTACTGTAGCTTTTTTTCAGGTTTTAGTTTGCTTGTTTAAGCATTAGTCAAAACAATGGAGAAATAACATCTCATCACTGGAAGTTTGTATTTTTTAAGACTGTGTTATACAGCTGTGAGTAATTCAGATTGACTTCTCTTCACCTGAAGGCTGGGAGGAACTTTGTATAACTGGATTTTCTACTGTGTTGTTAGGACCAATGCCATGCTGAGTCATCCGTCTTAATATTTACAGAGGGTGTAACATATCCCAAATGTAGATTTTAGAGGTACTTATCATTTCTTGGGAAGAAGGTGGTCATGCTTATTAGTTTCATTGCATACTTTTCTGTTACAACAATCTTGCTTGTTAATTCAGGTGCATTCAAGTCCTTACCATGAAGTGTTTATTTTCTCGTCTTTAATTCAAAGGTAGTCTTTACCAGAACATAGTTAAACAGGCCTGGTGGTAGCATTTTAGAGGTTACCAATGGTCATTTGTCTTTGTACTGAGAGACTGCCATGCTCTGTTAGCAAAGAGCACCTGTTACTAAATAATAGATGAACCAAGACTGATTAATTTATTAGTACTATAGATGGGTCCCATCTATTTGGCTGCATTGTGGCTATATGAATGTGTTAGATGCCAAACTTCAGTCCTACCCTGTACTGCAATACCAGTGGAAAATGTTTCTGTAATTTCTTCATTGCTGTGAGCGAGGACTTGTGTTTTCTTATCAGTTCTGAGAAAACTTTGGACTTGATGACAACCTTCCCTTGAGTCACCCTTGACACTAATCATTTTATATGCCACATTAACATTTTTTTTCCCCAAAGAGCCAAAAATATAAATTTCCCCTATTAGTAATCTTTTACAAAATACTAGTTGGAATGTATTCCTGCAGATCATACTTTGTCCTGCTTTGTTGCCAAATCTTGCTATCAGACTCCCTCCAGGCTTGGAGTCTTTTCTGGGATAGCTTTTAGTTTCTGATTGTTGGCTGCTCCATTCAGAAAATATTTTTTCCCTTCTGCGCACTCCCTTTGTTGTCAACTCAGCGGCTGTGGCTCAGTTGGCAGAGTCGTCGCCTGTCACACAGTTGCAATTCACTTACAATTCACTTAGCAGACGCTTTTTTCCAAGGCGACGTACATCAGAGAGTAAGTACAACACTAATCCATTCATACACCGCCACCGAAACAGCGGGAGCAATGCAGGGTGTCTTGTCCTTTGGACACATCAGACATGTTGCTCAGCTGGGGATCAAACCCTCGACCTTTCGGTTGAAAGGCGATGACTCGACCAACTGAGCCACAGCTGCCCGCGCACAGAAGGTCGAGGGTTCAATCCCTAGCCAAGAAACATGTCCGATGTGTCCTTGGGCAAGACACTTAACCCCGCATTGCTCCTGCTGCTTCTGTGGCGGTGTATGAATGGATTAGTGTTGTGCTAACTCTCTGATGTGTTTGGATAAAAGTGTCTGTTAAGTGAATTGTAACATTGTAACTCCATTCATGTTGGCTGAAATAAAAACATATTTTCACATTACACCTACATGCGAGGGAAACAGGCTTTTGTATTTTTGGGCCTAAAGAGACGTGTTGAACATGTCACATGGAATCAAGCTGTTCTTGTGGTATTTATTTCATATTTTGAGGTTGTCTGGCAGAGGTCTTTCATTTGTTTTTAACAGCTCTTTGTAACACAAGACAGATGTATTAAGTAACATTTCATTATAACGGTGTGCGTCACTTGTCTCTGTTTTTTGATTCCAAAGCGTCGAGCTCCAGGGAGTCATGTGCTCATTTGTAACCTGAAATCATCAAGTTTTCTTCTCAATAAGACTGGATAGTTATTTTTGTCTCTGACAGCTCTTAGAATTTGTTTTTTTGTCACTGCTGTGTCATGTGACCTTTCAGCAACCGTGTTTGTCAACCGCATAGTATTCCTGAGCATGTGTTGTAGTCCCAAGCCTAGATGATAGTTATGTAAGTTAAATTACCATTTTTTGCCAAAACACTTAGAACCATGCACTGTGCTTTTCATAGAAGGGCCCAACGCTGTATTGTTGTGTGCATCTGCTTGAGCGTGCATGAACTAGAGCCGTTTAATCCTGACAGTTTGTTTACGTCAACAGGCAGCTCCTATATGTAGCTGTTCTTACAATTATTCACTCACACCCTCCACTGCAGTTGTAGTCCACTGCTAAATGTTGCTTAAGAAGGCTGCTAATCCTTCTAATTTCTTACAGGCATCTCAGATTAGACTGTGCGAGACACAGCAGGGGTTCAACTGTCTGAACTCTGGCACACCAAACACAAGCACACACAATCTTAAAGCCTGTGTTTCACATGATTATGATCTTTGCTCACCTCTCCTCTTTCTGATTCAGGGAGCTGTTTCATAAGTTTGATGTTGTGCTCAATGAAACATAATTTTCAAACACAGTGACTCTCTGTGTCTTAATAATGTTAATTACTCAGTTAAGTACTTTGCCAGAACATGTCTGTTGGTGCAGCATGGTGCTGCAGATTTTCACCCTTCATTGTGAAATTTCAGGTATTAAACTCATGGCTGATGAAATCCAGCAATATTATTCAGTGCTTTTTGTACTTATTAACGTTTTTTCATTATAAGATTTGCGGTTATGTTGCCCAATACTGCCTAATCAAAAGACATGCAGAGCAGTCACGTGGAGCTGTCCTTGGCTTAGTGATGCTAGCTGGATGAGTCAGTTCATGGCATTAACACAAGCTGTGAGAGGGAAAATAACTGAAGAGAAGAGCTGCAGCACCAACAAAACTCAGAAATTGTAGTGAAAGCTGCTACACCCTTTCAAAAATAAAATCCAGAGAGAAACAAGTGCAAGCTGAGGATGGATCAACAAAAAAAGATGTTTAATAGACTGTGACATAGTCAAGAGATCAATGGGTTTCATCTAATATCAATGGTCTTTTACAGATCAATTTGTAGGAAATTGAAAAACGTGAGATGGGTAGCTCATGTGTACTTTCTGGGTGCCTGTATAATTAATTTGTTTAAATGCTGGTGGTTTGAGTTGCTATGTATAAATACAGTCATCATGTGGTTTTTCCCTATTTGTCAGCTTCATTGACCAAAGCTGGGATGATGAATTCTCTCACTTCCTGTATCATCTGTTAGTGTTGCTGCTTTTGCATCTTTTCCTCAGCACAACTGCTGACTCACACAGTGAAGTATAAAGGTCCTTTTAGCAATTTGCAAGTCAAGCTTGCACTCATCATATCTTTCAGTATCCACTTTAAAGCCCTCATTTCCTTACCTTATCAACATGAAAATCATATATAAATATTAAACATTATCAGCCTCATTTGCTGCTAGCATTATTAGATTATTAGTTTAGAGATATGTTGTTAAGAGACCTCATGCTGCCCGACATACAATACCTACGGTACTTCTATCAGCCACTGACTGTTACACTGAAAATTACAAACTAATTGTGTTCAATCACTGCACCACTTAATAAAAACAGGATACTGTGCAATCGTTGTTCTAGTGTATTTAGTGTTTTTTGTAAACTTAATGTTCTTCATTCTGTTCTTTTTTCTCTTTGCAGGAGGTTTTGCCATTGTTTTTTTGGTGCGGACTCATCAAAGTATACGTTGTGCACTTAAAAGGATGTATGTCAACAATGAACACGACCTGCAAGTCTGCAAACTTGAGATCCAGATTATGGTGAGTAAGGCAGTCCAGTGACTGGCTGCTGATGGTAGCAAACTGCATTTTCTGTTTTTTAAGACATTTTGCTAGAATTATAATCTTTTAGGTCTGAGTGTGACTAACCCTGAATTTTTGAAGTACTACTTCAAGGCTGGTACACACCAAGCTGACAACAAAGAATAAGCTGTGATGAAAACCGACTGCTGTGTCGTGTTTTGTCCACTGTTGTCGAGCCTAAAAGTCGGGCTGTTCACACCAAACTGATAGCAGCTTACTGCCAATTAGTTTGTGCATTTTGCACATGCGTGAGAAGCAATAACTTCATCTTTATTATATTTTATGCTAATCATTTTTCTGATGAATGCATTCATAATTACCTTGACTTACGAAAATGTCAGAAGATAAAGAGACGGTACTGGGGTTACATGAAAAGATACCTCGGACCCAGAGCAGTTCTGATGGTGATCTTGAAACCACACAAACCAGAGCCACAGACGTTCTGACTTCCCTGACAAGTCCTGACACCCGACGGCTGGCTTAGTGTCTTAAAGAACAAACCCTGAAGTACTCTTTAATGTTGGTAGCTAAATGGCTGGGTAGTAGTATAATGTCTTTTTTTATCTCACAGTTCTTCTAAAAATTATGACTTGGCACTTTCCTGTCAGTTCATTTCCTAACTAGAGCCCTTTATTCTAAAGCCCTGTAAGTGAAACTAACCAGTTCCTGCAGCCACACCCTGGGTACTAGCATTTTTTCTAGATAGTTCAATGCAGCTCTCAGCTGTGAACTTTGCTGTTTTTTTACTTCCTTCCATTTGCCATGCACCTTAACTGCCTCTGCTTTATCTGGTCTCATGGACTACATCACTTTATTCTATCCATTTTATATCAGTATTCATACAGTTCTGGTTACTTATTCCTGATGTTTCTTATCCATCATTGCACTACAGTCACTTTATTTATCTAATTCTTACCTTTACAGCTACGGTCACTTTATTTATCTAATTCTTACCTTTACAGCTACGGTCACTTTATTTATCTAATTCTTACCTTTACAGCTACGGTCACTTTATTTATCTAATTTTACCTTTACAGTTATTTTGTTTATATTAGTTCTGTTGTTCCATTATTCATTATTGCACCTTATAACTTATCATTTAGTATTTGCCTACTTGCACATAGCTCTGTATCTATATATTTATTTCTCGTTTACTGCAAATAGTTCTGTTTCTGTTAGTCCGATCACTGTCCACTTAGATCTACTCTTTTTATATTTTTTATTTTAAGTTAAGTTTAAGCTTTAAGTTGTATTTAAATTGACACTTTATATTTAGGTTAAAATGTTTCGTACTTGCACTGTTGTTAATTTACTGCTCTGTGTGCCTTTGAATTGCCCCCCGGGGACAAATAAAGTTTTTTGAATTGAATTGAATAGCTATCATCATTACACTCAGACTAAGGAGATAAATGGCATCTCTCCAAAGATTAAAATAGAAGGAATAGATATAATGTATTTTATTTACTAAGCTACATGTTTTCTGAACTGTGAAATGTTTGTCCATATTTGCCTTTTCTCTGTGTTTGTTTGTGAAGAGGGACCTTGTGGGCAACAAAAACATAGTTGGTTTCCTGGACTCCAGCATAACTGCAGTTGGGGCTGGTGATGTGTGGGAAGTGTTAATCTTAATGGACTTCTGTCGAGGTAATCATTAAATCCTGTTTTGTTTGAAAGAGAAAATTCTGTAAGATTTGATTCAGTGGATAGATATCGGAGGGAGCTCTTTTTGGATTATCTTCTATTTTTTATCTTTTTGATAGTTTATTATTACTGTGTAGTTGTTGGATCTTTGTAGAGTCAATTAAATTGTCCTGAGGTTTTTTTGTCTTAATAATTAATAATTTAAAATGAATCTGTCGGTAAAGAAAACATGTTTGAAGTTATCTTAATCTGCTCCCATACCATAGTTGCAGGTTTTATTTATACTAGCCTTTAATATGTACGTATATTACCATATTATTTCAAAATTGTATTTACTTTAAAGTTGTTTATTGGTATTTTTTGCTCTATAGAAGGCAAAGCTGATGTTTCAGAGGGTGCAGGTTGAATTTTTGTATTGTCTCAAGTTGTCTGAAACTAAATGTATGACACAAGTTGACAGACCTGAAAATGGGCTGTTTTATAATCAATTCATTGTATGATTAGCTAAATAAACGATTGAAGGTGTCTCTTAAAAAAATGGATCAATCTTATGGGGTAAGACGTGTTTACAAGAAATATTTCACTGACCTTGGTTTTCTGTAGGTGGACAGGTTGTTAACCTGATGAACCAGCGGTTACAGACAGGCTTCACTGAGGCTGAAGTGTTACAGATCTTTTGTGACACGTGTGAAGCTGTCGCTCGTCTCCACCAGTGCAAGACTCCAATCATTCACAGAGATCTCAAGGCAAGATAGATTTAATTCCAAATACACACCCAAGGCTAGCTAATTAAAGGCTTCATTAATCTTGGAAGTCATTTATCATGACTCTGTTGTTTTCCTCATGTACTCTGGCTTGTCTTGTCTTGTCTTCCTCATGTAGGTGGAAAATATTCTTCTGCATGATCGGGGACATTACGTGCTCTGTGATTTTGGAAGTGCCACTAACCACTTCCAAAACCCCCAGACAGAGGGGGTGCCATTGGTGGAGGAGGAAATCAAAAAGTGATTTTTTTTTTTGTTAGCACTTCATACCTTCTTTCCTTAATATTTTTGAATTTAAGACACTCATTGGTCTGCTCTACAAACAGGTACACTACTCTGTCATACCGTGCTCCAGAGATGGTCAACCTCTACGGTGAAAAGGTCATCACAACAAAAGCCGACATTTGGGTGAGAGAGACTGTGTTTAATACCGTTATGTGCATTTTAATTACTATATGATTTAATGTTAATCACTCTGATAATGCCATGTGTATTAGTATGTGCTGAAATACTAGACCCAGCCTCTCATTTGAAATAATTGTGTTTCTCTGTATAGGCCATGGGTTGTCTACTGTATAAGCTGTGCTACTTCACGCTTCCTTTTGGAGAGAGCCAAGTGGCGATCTGTGATGGAAGTTTCACAATCCCAGACAACTCCCGCTACTCCCAGGACATGCACTGTCTCATCAGTGAGTAACCAGTTCCTTATGTCATATGCCACAAATTCAGCACATTCTGTTTGTTTGCCGTGGCTCTGAGAGTGCATATACATTATCATGTGTCTGAACTTTACATCCTATTTCATTGATTTCTCAGGATACATGCTGGAACCTGACCCAGATAACAGACCAGACATCTACCAAATATCCTACTTTGCCTTCAAACTGGCTGGACGAGAGTGTCCAGTCCACAATGTACATGTAAGTACCCACAGTGAGAGGGTTACACAAGTTTGATTTAGGAATCATCTGTTGGGTTTGTACTAAATATTACAGATTTGGTCAACTTCATTTTCTAATAATGTATGACACCGTTGTTGACACCCAGATACCGTTTTAATTATCTTGGTTATCAAAGATGTTGGTTATTGTACTTTTTAGCATGCCTGTTGGCTGTCCTCTATTCATCATGTATTTTTAATGCATTTATAAAGTAGCTCAGCATTTGGTCTTCTGATTCAGCCTAATTTCTGACCTGATGCTTTAAATATAATTAAAGTGGGCATAAATTGTGCTATCATGAAAGATGCATTAGCCTTTAAACAAAATAAATAAATTGTTTATTTTCTTTCCTTTGTCCTGATGCTTTTGATGTCTTGTGTCAAGCACTTTGGATTGCCTTGTTGTTAATATGTGCTATATAAAACAACGTGCCTTGCTTTGCCTAAATAAAATAGACAATTCCAATTCCATTATTGTTGTAGAATTCCCCCATTCCTGCAAAACTCCCTGAGCCTATCCGAGCCAGTGAAGCAGTGGCCAAAAAGAGTCAATCCAAAGCCAGGTGAGTGCCATCAAAAGCAATCGATTTTTGTCACTGTAGAAAACTTAATTCATAAGTCAATTCATTAAGAAAACTTAATTCATAAGTTTTCTGTTTTTCTTCCTTCAGACTCACAGACCCTTTACCGACTCTAGAAACCTCAATTGCACCTCGGCAACGACCCAAGGCTGGCCAGGCTCAGCCCCAGCCAATATCAGGCATTCTCCCCATCCAGCCAGCTCTCACCCCTCGAAAGAGACCCAACATGGCTGCTGGAGCAACACAGGCCATAGGTATAAGTAGCTCTGTGATCGCTCTACATGTCTGGGTTATATCATTTGTAGTTGTTCATTAGTGCCTAATATGTTTGTGGTAACAGTAATCCTGGCAATTCAATAGAGAAAGTATGTCTCGTATTTGTTCAGCTCAGTGAATTGCTTAAGAATTTGACTCTAGCGTCAACAGGGGGCTTGTTTGTTTCCAATGATTCAGTGAGAGCTTTCCCAAGAGGCTTTTAATCATCATTTTATGAGTCATGATGGCGTGATGTGTTATTCATTTCAGCAGCATTCTCTAACATTTATATGCAGAGCTTGCCGAATCATTTGATGGGTCTCCAACTAAATAAGATTTCTTCTGTATATGTATTTATTTAGTTTTGCTAAAATGCTTTTCTCATGAATACATGTTTATATTGTTGCTTGTAAATGTTGTATACTTTCTCAAATGTATACCTGTCAGTGCAGTTAAGCCAAAAGCACAAGCTTACTCTCATAATGCAGGTTATTAGCAGACTTAACTTGGATAGACTTTTCTAATTAGAGGATCCTTCTCGTTGGAGGAGGCCTTCAATGACACAAATTCTTTCAAACTGATTCATTTGCACAAACACTTAATTTGCATTCATTTTTAAAAACATTTCAAGGATTTGTGTACTTTACAGTTGGCCGAAAACAACAGTTTTTTCAACTAGAAGTTGCAGTTGTATTTTAAAAGGGAATGTTCACATATTTATATATATAAAAAAAATATATACATATTTAACAGGTCTACCATCTTATTTTCTGCCCTCCAGGTGTTGGTGTCCCACCTCCAGCTTCAGCTGCTGTCCAACCTCTTCAACAGACTCCTGCAGCACCACAGCAAGCTCAGATAGCCAACTTGCAGCCACAGGCTTCACAGCAGCACCAGCAGCTCCTCATGAGGCAGCAACATGCCTTCTTAAGCCCACAGGGTAACCTGCAGGTAAGCATCCTGGTAGAACAAGAGGAGAAGTATTTTTCAGCTATACTGAAAGGCTTTTTACTCTCACTCCTCCGGGAAACTGAAGGATTGTGTTATACCACACTAAATGCTGCATTGAGCCATTATCTTAAACAAACATGTGCTGTGGACCTGAATGTCTGTCTGACCTTGACCAGTGCAGCTAAAACATTGCATATGTACAATGCTATGTATTTTGGTTATGTTTCCCAGACAGAATCTCTGCTTTTAGGGACAAGGTTTTTGGTTATATTCTTCATGTTTGTGAATAAATCTCCTCCTTCCCTCCACTTGATTTACACTGTGTTCTGTCAAAATGTAGAAGATAAATCCTTAGAAGTATCTTACAAACGGAAGCTGCTGCTGTTGTCACTTTTATAAACCATTACAAAACGGGCCTTCCTCATGCTCGGCTGTGTGGTATTCTTATGTAGCATCAACTGGTACAGAACCTCCACCAGCAGCAGCAACATCAAACAGTGTCTCAGGCGTCTACCAAGCTGCAGCCCAAAGCTAAGATTGTTCCTCCAGTTGCTACCATGCAAGAGAAACACCAGCAGCATGTACCCCCTGTCCATGAAACAGCAGCCTCTCATCTGACCGCCATCCCAGAGTCCGCAGCTGTCGACCCAGAGGTTGTGGTAAAATCCTCCTGCTGCCGCCTGCCACTCTTTTGGGCCAGAGAGTTGATTAACAGCTTGTAACCAATCACATCCAGTTGTTTTTTTCTTTTCATTCTCCGGGGCACAGGGAATGCAGAAATGCATTTTAATGTCTTCATCTTAAGAAAGCCACGTTTAGACTTGGCTTTTCTGATCTGATAACCAAATCATCTTGCTACATTCTGAGCTGCTTCTTCCAACTATTGTAACAGTTTGTGAAATATTTTGTCACACTTCTGGAAGCTTAGTTTGAGCAATTTGTCAGTAACTCTCTATTTCTAGGGTGTGTCTAGTTGTGTTCTACCTTTGAGCTCTACATACTTATTCTTACTCTATTTTCGATAACAGTTTTCCCTCTTTATGGTGTTTTTGTAGCTTTTGCAAGAATTTACTATCCAACTCCTCTTACAGCTTTTGTTTTCCAGTGAATCTTTCTTGATTGGTTTTTCTATTGTTGGCCCTTTGATTTGTTGGTATTGGTTTTTAAAATGATAATAAAAAAGATTCAAGTCAAGAAAATCTTTTCTCATACCCCCTTCTCCATTTCTTTTTTCTTTTTTCCTTACAGACGGCTGGCAGAGGGTTGCACAAAGTCGGCTCCCTCACACCCCCCTCTTCGCCAAAGACAGCCACTAAGAGTGGCCACAGACGCATCCTGAGCGATGTCACTCACAGCACAGTGTTTGGAGTCCCAGTAAGCAAGTCCACCCAGCTCCTTCAGTCAGCCGCAGCTGAGGCCAGCCTCAACAAGTCCAAGTGAGCAGAATTAACTCGCTTCAGTGATCTGAGGATGAACTGTTCTTTCATAGCAGTGAGTGTGCTGTGAACGGCCATAGACAGTCCATTCATATGGGGAGCACCAAAAGGAAGATAAACAACCCTTTGACACCCCAGAGAATCCAGCTTAAGAAGAATCACTCAATTCAGTCTTTAAATAACTCTGCACTCACTCTTATTTGTATATACCAGTAGGCCAGTGTCCACAGATCTAACACCCTCTATCAGGTTTCATGATGCACTCTTACCCTTGTTTATGTTTACACTTACGTCTGCTGCAGATCAGCCAGCACTACTCCTTCTGGCTCCCCCTGCTCGTCCCAGCAGAGTGTTTATCATCCAGGTGATGGTGATGCCCAGTCAGCCCTTGCTGCACCCATCTCTGTGTCCAGCTGGAACCCTTTTGGTGATGATAATTTCTCCAAGCTAACAGCAGAGGAGCTGCTAAACAAAGACTTTGCAAAGCTAGCTGAGAGTAAGTATACCTTATTTTACTGATCATGTACCACTGCAGCTTTGAGTGTGTGATGTCATAATAATTGCTACTGTGTTCTTTGTTTATGCACAGCTGCTGCACCAGGAGAGAAAGTCACAGGCTCCATTGAAAATCTCATTCAAGGGCTCAGTGCTTTTCCAGGTAAAGCTATTTAAAGTTTATGCTGTCTCATTGCTTTGCATAATACATAAAGGATGCTGTTCTGTCAGTGATAAATCAGTCATTTAGTGGATCACTTTTCAACATCAACTTGAAGTTATTATGTATGGAAATCCCACTTGTGGCTGTATTGTGTTCTGTCTAGAGTGAAGTAGTCATAAAAGTTAGCTTACACCACCCAGTCTCTTCTTCACTTGTTCATGCTCCTTCATTTGCTTTCCACCATCTTTATTCACTCTGCAATGTTAAGCTGAAACAACTGCCTGCATCATGGGTGCAGGTTCAGCATTGTTGACAGTCCAGGACCCCTTAAATACCATCTTCCTCCCGGACGCCACAGGTAATTTTTTTTGTAACAACATCAAACATGATTAGCCGTGCATTGCCAAAGGATCTTGCACAAATATATTCCTAGGGCTTAAGAGTCACCTTTTACTGTTTATTTATTTCTTTTTCTGGATATTATCCTTGCCAGAGGTTGGCTTATGAGTGCTGGTTTTGTGGGTAAGATTTGTACACGGTCTTCTCTTGTTGCACACAGCCTCAGAGTGGCTCCTTGTCAGCTGCCATGAAGGGAGGCCGTAGCTACAGCTAGATCGCATCTCATTTGCAGACCTGTGCTTTTGCTGTTGCCTGGTAACATGAAGGACAAATTCTCCTTTGTTAATTGGATTGCCTTCCTGCTGGACGAGGCTTCTTACTGAGGCCGCTAAGAACAAGAGAATGTTCAGCAGGCTTTACTGTCAAAATAATGACACTACCTTGTATGTTCTCCTCAGTTTAGCCTTTAGCCCCTTTTTAAGAGAATGCTTCTTAGCGGTTACCTTCTTTGTGTAGGTACTGTTTAAAGCTTTAACTGAGAGTTTAAATAATGTGAAGGCTGTTACATAATCTGGGTGTGGTTAATCTTCTCCACCCAGCCTAAGCTGTCGATTTTCCGCTCTCTGCTCACTCAAATAGGATGCACCTAAGCAAACATGTTCTGGTTCTCAGTGATGGAGCAGAGAGCTTCAGCTGAGCAGCATGCAGGATGACTGTCTCAATTGAATCAATTAAGAAAATTGCAAGCTGTATTCAATTATTAACACAACACTTTATCTCCATTGACTTTACTTAAAGTATTCACTTTTTATCATTTTGTGATTTTCATCAGTGTTGACCTCTTTCCTATAGTTAAGGGGGAAAAAGGTCACATCTGCTGTGCCATTTTCTGAGCCATCACATTCCAACACAGACCCCTCCCCCCACCCTCACCTCCTACCCATTTTGCCCCATAGCAGTTTCCTGTAAGTATGAGCTGCAGCGGAAAGCCAGAGATTTGTGGTTTAGTGCATGGCCTGTATTTCAACTTAATTACTCACAATTTTTACAACAATAGAGTAGCGCTACCAAGAAGAAGAAGATGCCCTCCTTTAATTGTCTGCTCTCAGAATGGACTGAAAAAAGAGAGTTTTGGCATGTGGACTCATGTAGGCTAAATGTACTGATTGCTGTGGTGTGTTTTTAAAAATAATGTGAATACGTTTGTACTTAAAGGGTACGAGTAGTGTTTGGGTGAAGGTCTAATAGAGTTATGTCCTTTGAATGTTGTGGATATTGCTCTGATTAGTTTTGGAGAGTGTAGCTTTTGTAAGCAGAACTTAATACGCTAACACATCAGACAGTGGTTTTATCCTTGCACAATGGTTTCAGGAAACCTGATGTTTGAGCCATGTGAATAAAATTGCATGGAAATCTTTATGTGCAGTCTTCATCCTGTCATACCTTGGTCTAAATCCCTTAAAAATATTTGACAAGTAGGTAACTTGCAGTTCCACATTACCATATTTTTACAGTTTCCTATTACTTCAGTTTTTCTGCCTTTCTTTAAGTGCACACTCCTTCCCTCTTGGCCTTTGTTTCTGTATTCTGTCATCCGTCTGTTGCCTCTGATCGTCCTGTCTCTGATGCTCACTCACAGAGAACATAGACACTGGGGTCCCCTGACACTTTTCTGCTGCTCCCTGACCTTTTAACCCAGGCTAACCCCTTCAATCATTCTACATAGAGTTACATCAATGGTACCAGCTCTGTTTTTGTCCCTTGTCTTCCTCTAAAATTACCTAGTCAGCTCTGCATGTAATTCCTTTGCTTTCCTTCTCACCGTTCACACTCAGTTCACACCCACCAGACAGAGGTGCAGAGCCCTTTAATTTAATCTGATCCCTCCTAAGCTTCTCTCTTGTGTTAAGGTTAGTCTTAATGCCTTTTCGTCACTGTATTTCCCCCTTGATTTTTCTATGTAGTGAAAGCAGTGGTGTGTGTGGATTCACTGATTCCTGGCTTGGAAGCCCCGCTGGCCCAGAGACATTCAGGCCAGCCAGAGCTCATCCCTGTCAGCATGCTAGGTTAGCATCCTTACTGCAAATTTGGAAAACATAATTTAACTCTTTCAGCATTTTCACCAAGCAATGATGGTCTCCAGTTGTTAATACTAATACTAATACTAATGAAGACTTACGTTTTTATTAAAAACATGTAAAACTGCTATCGGTTCAAACTGTTGTTGTGGAAAACACAAATAACTTAATCACAGATTATCATGAGTGTGCTGGATAGCACAGTCCTGCCAAAAAAAGAGGTACAATTAATGTTTACAAACAAATAATCTTTCTTTACGTTGACCACTTGTCCCTCTGGCTTTGCTTCAACCTGTCTCAGACTCACTCACTGGGGAGGACTCTCTGCTGGGTTGTGATCTGTTATCTCACTCCTCTCATGGAAACCAGTCTGTTTCTGCTATCGCTTCCTCCTGCTCCTCTGCTCCTCCTGGCTCCAGCTCTGGTTCCTGTCTGGAGGAGCTGCAGCCTGCTCAGACAGCTTCTGGTAAGACCTCCCCTTTGCTGCACCCCTTAGCTAGCCTCATATCTGCTGGTTGTTTCTGCCTGTGACGCCATCTCAGATCACAGATCCTTCCAAAAACAGGAGGGGCTGTTGAAACTGAAAAATAGACACAAGTAATCACTTGTGAGAGGCCCTAGATTTGTAGAAGAGCTAAAAGCCATCTTAAATGCATGGCTTATAAAAACTGACTGTCCCTGGCTGCATCTATTTTTAATCTCCTTGCACCCTCTTCTCTTTTTGCTCTTTTTCTTTGGCTGAGTTAACTTCTTTTCCCCCTTCATCATTCCACTTCCTCTTCCTTCACCGCAGACTGTTCTCTCCTCATGTCGTGTGGGGAGAAAGGCAATGATGACGAGTTTGACCCTATCCCCGTGCTCATCTCCAAAAACTCAAATCAAGGTAAGGTTAACAGAATCATGAGATGAGCACTTACGTCTGCTGAAGCCCCGACCAGTGTGAGCAGAGAAGATAATGATTGAACCCCTTAAGTACCGTTTACAAAGCTGGTTCCTGCTGATGAGAGGAGTCTTATATTGGTGGGCATGTCACATTAAGGCTTTTTATCCCATCAAGCCCTCACATTAGTCATCTTTCTCTCAGCTAGTGTTTGGCTCTTTTCAGTTTCTCCTTAAAGTCTCTTTAGCTAGAGAGGCATTCCCCGACTCTCCCCCGTAATGATTGATTTATTTGTTAGGGACAGATACAGTATACCTAGACAAACAGGAAACAGCCATCCAGTGCAAGTATTATAGTGTTTATAGCGGATGGTGATTTGCAACCCATATCCCTAGAAGGGCTTTTGATGCAGCTGTATTAAGACAATCCCAGCTCACACTCTGCCTCTGTTTCTCTCTCTGCCCCCGTCATACATGCACCTCTCTGCTCTGCCATTATTTCATTTTCATCAACTCCTCACTCTTAATTTCTCCATCATTTCTTCTGTTAATATTACTTATTCTTGGGCTTGTTTTTCCACCCTCTCCCTTGGCTCTTCCATGTCCATCTCTGTCTCTCTCTCTCTCTCTTTTCTGGCACATTTCAGGTGGTCACTCGCGCAGCAACAGTGGCAGCTCAGAGTCCAGCATCCCCAACTTGGCCCGCTCCCTTCTGCTGGTGGATCAGCTCATCGACCTCTAGTGGGGGTGGGAGAGGTCGAAAGGGCAGAGTGCAATCCTAACAAAGGGACATGGGGGGGGGGGGGGATCGAGATGGGGAAGCAGAGGCACAATATGTAGCACCTTATGAATTGAGACAGAGGAGCCAGCATTGATTGGTTCAGAGGAACCATTTTTCTTTTAAATGTGCCTCCTTGGCCTCAGCTCCATCCCTAGCTGCCTGATAAGCTGGTTTCATATATCTCTGCTGGCCGTGTGCATTCCCACGCTGGTATAAAATCTTTTCATAAATGCTTGAGCATATCATCTGCTTCTATCCAGCTTCATCATGGTACTCCTCATTCTTTCCTAGCATTAATATCCCTCATCAAGCGCACTGCTATGGGGATCGGCTGCCATCATAAGCGCGTCTGAAACTGCTTGATCACAGCTGAATTGTGTTCAGTTGGTGTGTTTGTTCGTGGTCAAAGCTTTATGAAAACACACCACCTTCATGCAGGCTCATTTATGTCAGGGGTCTGACTAAAGACAGAGGAGTCAAAATGCTGCTGTCCTCCAGGAAATGTGATACACTTTCCTGTGAAAGCTTTGAACTGAACTTTTGGCCGAACAGAGATCCAATCCAATAAGTGAACAACTGAGAGATGTTTGCGCCGATTGAATCAGTTTAAAAAAAAAAAAAAAGCAGATTTATTTGTGATTTACTGTTGAGTAAGGAAGCTAGAGATTTTGTCCTGATAATCCAAAGACAAACATATACAGTCTTCAGTCAAATTACACCCCTGAAGTCAAATCTGTTTATTTCTTTGCTGCTATTTCTTTTCCAGAAGCAGCTTTGTATCTGAGCTAACTTACTATTCCTATTAGAGCTGTAGCTTCAGCATGACTGTATAGTGTCATCTCTTTCTGGAGTTTAAACAGAATAATATTCCTCCTAAAACAAACAGCAACAAAAATATTCTTCTGTCAAACCGTCACTTATGATAAAGTTGCTGTGCCCGGATGCTTTCACGTTCATCTTTATCTGCAGCACTTTGTGAGACAATTACTGGTTTGTGTGCATTACAGCTCATGAACTGACCGTCATATCTTTGACCCATTGTATAGATAGAGGAAGAATCAAAAGGGAATCACATTGTTGGACCTGTAGCCTTGCCAAAGCTTAAGCATAGATTTCCTGATTATTCTGTGTTTGCCATGTGTCAGTGTGCTGTCAGGGTTGTTACACAGGAGCTGATTTTGGCAGCATTAAGCTGTTACAGACACTGAGATACATTGTACATTTAGTTGAGTTATTGTGTGTAGGCATGTTGAAAAATCCATCTCTAATTGTCATCCTCTCTGTCTTGTCTAGCCAATCTCTTAGAGCCACATACACTGAGGTCACACGGCCAAACTCATTTCAGCCAGAGCAGAAACCCATAAAACTATGTGTACATGAAATCACTGTTTAATTTTATTTTTCTCCTTTTTTGACATTGTCAGCACTTTTTTAGGGTGTTATATTTAAAAAGCGCTTCGTTCTTTATGATATGAATAAATTGATAGGTCTTTATAATGAATGTTTGAACTGATTACCATTGTGAAATATGTACATTTATGAGGATATATAGATACAGAGTATTTGTGTATGAAGCTGTAATTAGTAGTGCAAAGATTTTGACCCTCTCCTCTGTCCAAAGTCCCTCTGTCTTTCTCTCCATTCATGTAAAGTGTTACTGTCAGCTAGTGCTTCTGTTTGAGATGTTAACATCGATACATGAAACAAAGTGCTTATGACTTATCTGACGTGATAGATATTCATTGTTCTCCATCACAGTTTACATTTGAATTGTTCTTGTAAGTTACTGTATATAACTTTGATAGATTTCATCTAAGAGGCAGCAAAACAGGGCTAATGACGGGATTCATTTCCTGATATCTCTGTGGCTCCTTCCACATCTGATCACTTAATTAGTCCGAGGATCATTACAAAGGCTGTTAGAAACTTCACTGACTCTGTATTGCATCTGTAATGTGAAAATCCCACCAAGTATTCCTTTTTACTTTAGTTTTTCTGTAGCCAAGGAAAGTGCATTACAAAGACAAAAGTCTATTTCAGGCTATCATATCACCTTAACATATACGCATAACAGACAGAAAACAGTACAGTTTCTCTAACGTGCCATCACTTCTCCTCTTCTCCTGCTCCCCTCACTATAACAAAATGCAAACATTAGTCTTAGAAATCTGCCATACAGTGAAAACTGGCATGGTTCAATAAAACTAATCGTCTGTCTTTCCCTGTGGTGTTGTTCAGTTAAGTCATTTGCATCTTTGTGGCTGATCTATGCAATCTTCTAATAATGCTTCACATTAATCAGACCATACAGTGCTGTTTCCTGTAGAGTTCCAGCCTTGGCTGTAGAGTTTAACTTGTGTTGCTGTGTACTTGTTGTGCTGGCTGGGTAAAAAATATAAAACTGATAATATCATAATATTTAACATGATAGGGTAGATGTTCATATGTCAAAGCAGGAGCATTTTTGAGTGTGTGCTTATATTTTTATGAACTAAGGATCAAAAAGACAGACACTGAATAAAATGAAGTAATGTGAATGTACATCAAGAGTCTTGGGGTCACATTATTTGATTTTTACTCAGAAGAGCAAACACTCAAGGGGGTCATTTGACAGTAAGGAGATCTATGCTTCATTTACCTTTGTTTTAATTAGCTGCAGATGGATATTCCTTGTGGGAACCGAATTACATTGCAGATAATCTAATATGATGTTATGCTATCCACTTAAGCCTGTTGTGCTGGGGTTTCAACATTACATCGTTTATAAACTTGTGCCCTGCTATATTGAAATGTCTCTGCTCCTAGAATATTAGTATGAGCATCGTCTAACTGTGCATCTTAACCACCCTGCAGTTATCCATTTGAGCTTTAAAAGACTACTCCCATGTTTTCTAGTTTGTCTTTTTCCTCTTTCTTGTTAACCCTGCTTATTTTTAAGTTATTCTGTGCCTCCTGGATGCTTGTAGACATGCACGTTAAACCCTCACTACTGTTTACTGCTGTTTGGATACCAGGAAAGGAGGCTAAGGGCTTTTGATAGACCCTACGTTAGATCATCTGTTATTCAAGAATATATGTTATTCCACATGATCACATGAGCTGTGTTAGTTGTTGTTTCTCTTTAGTAAGCTCTGAAAGGGTTTTTTTTCGGTTTGATGAGCTCAGATCATTTAGAAAGAGTGAAATGGGCCATGAATAGTATAAAAATATGAGGTATAGAGGACGTTAAACGGTGCTTTTTCTCGAATGGCTTCAACTAACATCTTCAATAGAGCTGCCAATTAACAGCTGCTGTTGACATCGCTGAGGTAAGACTGATCTGTCTCCGCTCATCTGTGCAAACTTGTCTGTCCTTAATGACCTCTTAACGTTCGCTGTGCAGACTCTTTTGTCCTTGTTTCCACATACCTAATGATTCCCTCTGAGCTCCCTCACCTTCAGCCTCATTTCTAACTAAAAGTCTATCTGCTGCCATAGTTTGCCCCCTAAAACAAGGGTTTGTTTGAGGAAACTGCAGCTAAGCTGAAACTATTTTGTGGAAACAAGGTTATTCGATGTGCTGGTAGAGCTGGTTAGTCTCGTCTGTCTCATGTTCCTTGTTCAGAGTAGAATATCTGTTGTGATAGTCTTGTGCGGGTTTCTCCCTGTTGACTCTGTAGTGGTTATGGCTGTTACAAATGATCCATTGGTCATGTAGTGTGTTGTGTGTTTGGGGTTTGATGGTCTTGTAGATGTAAAAGCAGATTGTAACTCGCATGGTAAAAATATGTTTGTGAATTTTTTTTACACTGATGTTTTTTTTCTGTTTCACTCCTGATGTGTTTTTCTCCATCTCCTTTCTAATCCAGATGTGCAAGGGGAGAGTAACGGCTACTCTGTGCTCGGTGAGGTACAAGAGACCGAACTTCCAGAAGGAGATTCTCAAACTAACGAGGGATGTGTGCACTCCAGCGATGAAGACGAGGAGAAAGAAGACCATAAGGAGGAGGAGCAGGATGAGGGAGCCTCTGAGAGTCATGTAGTAGCTCATGACTGCAGTGGCTCAAGACCTCTACTGATGGACTCTGACGAGGAAGAAGAACAGTCAGCCCTCCACTCATTAGCGGCACCAACACAACCATCTACTACCTTCCAACCACCTGCTCCCAGCACATTTGCTCAGAATCATTCCCAGCATGTACACGAACCAATAATGGCAGCTGAAGGAATTACAGATGTTTTCACAAAAGCCCCCTTTCGGATTGGGCAAGAAGACTCAAATGATGTGTTTGCCAACGCTCCATTTCCTTCCATGAATGCTCAGCAGCAGCTCGACGTTTTCTCTCAAGCTCCCTTCGGGAAAAGAAAAGAAGTTGTAGGAGCGCAGCTCAAGACCTCATACCCTCATGCAGGAGGCGGTAATGCTGTCAGCCCTGATCAAGGTGCGTTGGGACAAGTTGCCCAACAACCATTCCGCCCACAAGCTTTAGCCAAATACTCCCGACACTTTGAGGGACCCCTGCCCCAGCAGCCAGTAGCAGCTCATAGAGTTGTGTCTAACGTGAGCAAGCAAGCCGCTGTGGCATCCATCCCTGTGGGACCTCTTCACTCATGGACCTCAGAAGTGAGCCCTGTAGACCCTTTCGTCTCTGCACCCTTTCATCTCAAGGCCCCACAAGAAAAGCCTTGAACGCACAGTCAGAGAGGAGGGCGGTGGGAATCAGGACCACTAAATTATGCAAATATAACAGAGACACTGCATGCTGTCACCAGCGCTGCAGCTGGACTGCAGGCCTGCATGAATCTCATTCCTAAATATCTCCAACTAGTTCTGATAGTGCAAAGTCATCTTCACAGTTGAATTCTCCTGTAGTGTAAGAAAACTGACAATTACAGACTCATTTTCTTTTTCCATTCCTGTCACACCTTTCACCTTTTTTTTTTTTTTTCAACCATGTGGTACGTACATCGACACAAAGACAACGTGGTGGTCAAGCTTTTGATTGTTTTCTTGTCTACCTCAGTTACATTGTGTATCAATGCTGTGATTCCACACAGTGATAAATAGTCTGCAGTTGTGGCAGTTTCATTTCCTTTGTTTGAGCTTTATGGGTGAAACTATGATCTGACCATGTTTAATTCTTCCGTTGTATTAGTTCTCAGAAAGGATGGACTAAGCTTGAATCAAAAGATCGTTAACTCCACAGATGCTCAGATGAGGAAAAACCACTGTGTAGCACATAAGCAGTCTAGTGTCTCAAAACTATTTTGAGATGTTTGTTACAAAATGATTTAGAGGAATTTATCAGAAATGTAATTAGACAAGAAATCTGTCAACAGCCTTAAAATGATGCTTTTAATGTTTTGGGCTCTTCATGCTTGAGAGTTTGTGTTAAAACAAATGCTGGATAATGATGCGAACACACTTCAACTATAGCATTTACTGTTATGAGAGGTAATGATTTCATCTCCTCCTCAATGTTTGCATTTTTGATGTGTTTATTATGTGTGTGGTCCGTGTCCTGTTATGTACCAACCATTTTAGTAGTTTATATGTTATGTTAAGAGTAGAAGATTCACTTTTTGTTTTGTGTGTTACTCTACAAGATGGTATCTCTGAAGCCTTACACTCTTACAGGTCTTCCCTCCTAACACATCACGTTTGCCTTTTTATGACCTCCAGAAGCAACTGCTGCATCTACATAATTGTATGGCACTTGAGTTCCCCACTAAAAAATGTGTTCAATCGTGTACACCTTCCTGTTGCTGTCAGCTCTGTAATGCATCTCTATAATATGCATCTCTGTAAACTCCAAATGTGTATAAACTGTGACTCCACATTATGACAATTGAACAACTTACTCTGCAACGTCAAGAAATGCTCTCCAGCAGTCAACACAAATGCGTATGTACAGCACTTATGATCAGCAGTTCCAGTCAGGGATTGTAAGAATGAGTCTTGAATGGTAACTGGTTGACAACATTCCTTTATGACTTTATTTCCATCGCCATTTTATTGTCTTTGTAAAATCATGAAACACTTTATTTGTTCCCATCATGGCACTTTTAGAACTGTTTCATCCCAAAGCTATATTCATGTATTCCTTTGTTGCAATGTAAAATCACAGTCTCTTTTCTTTTTGAGCAGTACAATCTTTTTTTAAATGCTCACTTTTCTCACCCATCGTGTACACATGAAGGTTGCACATAGTCCCTGACATAGAATCAGGGATCCCTAAGAATGTTTTTTTTGATTGTAACACAGCTGTAAATCAGATTTCCACCCTCTGAGCTGAATAGGAAATCTTTTGAGGATTCGACAGCTGATTATACTGACGGACAAAAAAAAGCACTCGACATACTTATGCTGCACAGTCTGCCTTTAAAAACGATGTTGTAAGTCTTAAAAAAAGAACTATTAAATGAATGTAAAACATTGTTTTCTTATTTTGGCGTCATCATTCATATTTGAAACATGATTGTGAATGTAAGTCAGCAGGTATACTGGTGTTATACACATGTACAGTTTTAGACAGTTGCAATTTGAGAATTTAATTTTATCCCTTAAAAATGATTGGTGATAACTAATAAGTGATACATGTGTTATTGTAGTTGAATACTATGTATTTCAGCATTGCAAAGAAATCCGTTTGGTAAAGCTTTTAACTTCACCCTAATACTACATTAAAAAAAAGCAGCTTGTACATTTCTCATGGTGATTCTGATGTAATTAGACTTTTGAATGTACATGTTCCTTCCTTTCCATAAAACAGGGTTCTTTAAGTGGTTTATACAAAAATGTCCATATTATGATAATTAATTGTAACTCAATTAGTAATGCCAGTGCCATTGCCTCGCAAACAAGTAATAATAAATAATATATAATAAATAAAGAATGTTTATGTTATGAAAGCGACCTTTTATAGTGTGATGCAGTGTGACGACAGTGATATTCCGGTAGAGGGCGGAAATACAAAAAGCAAACCGGTTGTTCGCCTTCATTAAAGTAACGAAGAAGAAGAAGAAGAAACGCTCACGTTATTTGTCAACACTTTCAGAAAGTATGCGCTAAATGGTAAGTCATTTTGTTACAGAAGCTGTTATAAAACATATTAATGCGATAATACATATAATAAAACACGTGAGATATATGTTTCTCTAATTCTGTTCTTTTACTAAGCGTGCCTTACCGTGCTAACTTAACGTGAGCTAGCTGCTCTCCTGTGAATGATTGAGAAGTGTGTTCACAGTTTCTGTCTTCTAATCTAATGAAGTGGTTTCTGTGTAATAACCTGATTTTTTTTTTTTATAGGTAACTTTGTCTTTTACTGAGCACGATGGCTTCTCAGAGAGTGCTGCCTCAGAGCAAAGAGACTCTGCTTCAGAACTACAACAAGAGACTGAAGGATGACATCAGGTCCATCCTGGATAACTTCACAGAAATTGTCAAAACAGCAAAGGTACACTGAGACGGTGCTCCTTTTTTTATACATTTCATTTCTGTTCTACTGCTCATTTAAAGTTTTTGGTATAAGCCTCACTTTCAAATCCTGTCCCCATCCTCACATAAGAGCATGTTATTTCATGTTTGAGTATTTCTAACACTGTTTTCTGTTCCCAGATAGAGGATGAGACACAGGTTGCCAGAGCAACGCAGGCAGAGCAGGACCATTATGAGATGCACGTCAGAGCGGCCAACATTGTAAGATGAGCAACACATACAACTTACTCTGTAGTTTTATTGTTTTATATAGTCTGTGGTAGGGCTGGGCGATATATCGAGTTTTTAAGATATATCGTATATTTTCAAACAAGATATAGGGTAAGACAATATTGTTAATATCGTTATATAGTTTGTCGCATTAAAATAATGTTATAGAGGTGCCAGGTCACCTTTTTCTCATCTCACTGATGATGACTGTCTGTCCCTCTTAACCCTGCTCCTCCTCTCTCTCTCTTTTATTGTATTTAAGGAACATTTTTATTTTATTATATTACTTTTTAAATTGACAAAAAGGTTGTTTATTTTCCATGTGTTTTCACTGTTAATAAAATACATATCGATATATATCGAGTATCGCCATTCAGCTAATCAATATCGAGTTTTGGTCCATATCGCCCAGCCCTAGTACGTGGTTAGATTAACTTTCAAACCAGCTTAACTTAACGCTTTGAGTAAAAATAAAAAATCATGCCATTATTTCAAATACATCACTTTTATCAGTGCAGACTTGCCACATCTCTCACAGTCAACATGTCACAGCAGCCATCTTTAGGGGTTTCTACTTGGAGCTTCCTGATAAACCTGACTGAAAACAGAATTGTATTCCTTGTTTGACAATGTTGCTTGGAATTTTTTATACTTTTTTCACATCTTTTTGTAAGATGCTTATGCTGAGGACAATTTTTCAAACCCTCAACAACAATGGTTGTAGCATTCCTTGAAATGAAAGCATTGCAGATATGCATCATTTGTGCACACTTTGTTAATTATAGCCTGATTCATTAGTTTTCTTTGTAAAGTTCAGGTCTCAACTGGAATCTCAAAGTAGAGCCATACTTCACTCGTTGGAGTAAAGTATGGCTGCACAGTATTGATTTGTAGTTGACCAAATTTAGGATTTTAGTACCTCTGGTAATACTTCCGTGGGAATGTTTAAAGGAAAAAAAAAACATTATTATTATTTTCTAAACCCATTTCCATCTTTCTTGTTGTCGTTTCAGGTACGAGCTGGTGAGTCCCTGATGAAGCTGGTGTCTGATCTGAAGCAGTTTCTGATTCTCAACGACTTTCCCTCTGTGAACGATGCAATCAGCCTCCAGAACCAGCAGCTCCGCTCGCTGCAGGAGGAGTGTGACAAGAAGCTCACCTCACTCCGTGATGAGATCGCCATCGACCTGTATGAGCTAGAGGAAGAATATTACTCCTCCAGGTACAAGTAGGCTCATACATAGCCCCCCCCATCCCACCGCCCCTCTGTTGCCCCATGCCCACCTTTACCATTCACTGCTGAGCCCAAAGGGGTTTCTTTCATCTTAACATGACACTTTGGGGTCGAATTTCTCCCACCTTCATGGTCAAACGAGAACATCCATCAACATAAAGCGTCACAAGCTCTATCACTTAGCCACTTTGAATTGAAACTTTGAAAGTGCCTTCAGTTTTTTAAGTTAACACAACGAATCCCAATTTGTCAAAGTAGTGTAGACTTCAGCATTAAAGAGGTTTACAGCTGAATCTCAGCAGTGTGAATTCACTCTTAATAGTTGAACATGTTTTTGATGGATTTAATGCAGTTCACTGATTCAGTGTGTGATACATGAAGCCTTACTGTTGACAAGGATACATTTCAACATGGTGTTGATCTACTGTTGTGTTCATTTCTAAATGGTGATCAGACTTTGGGTTACCTGGTATGCAGCATCTTAAAGGAGAGAGGCTTTAACAGATATTTTCAGGCATTTGTAAATAATGAGCCCTTTGCCCGTGGGTTGATTTACAGTTACAGTATTTAAATCAAAGTAATGACCGTATAAAGTATATTCATTTTATGGTCTTGCTGTTTAATGAATTGTTTTAAGGGTTTTTTGAAGCTTCAAGAATAGAAGCACATTTATCTAAACTGATGTCAGAGAATAGATTTTATAGAAGTATAGTTCATTTAGGATAATTTATTTTAAAATTAATTTGGTGTTTAAAGATTTGATTGGACTGTGGATGATTGTTTGGTATAGACTGTCAAACTAGTATGTTTGATGTTATTTATTTGAGATCAAGTTTGAGGAGTAGACTTTTTTTTTTTCCACAAACAATTTGATCTTAAATTGAACTGTTTCCGTCCTTAAGACCTCAAGTGACTTCAGCTGTCAGCATGCAGGTTGTTACACTCACACATTGTGTTTGTACATGTGAACTAGTTTGTTCCAGGTTGTTCCAATAGACCCACAATGACTTCAGCAATAAAGCAGAGACAAAACACTGCAGTAGTTTGTCATGTTTTTCTGTGAGAAAGTATAAATGTCTCTTAGTCCTGTTTGGAGCACAAGGAGTGTGGGTCTTTCTTCCTCGCTGCATTCGCTCTGCTTTCTCCTCCATCAGCAACTGATTAACACCTTTTTGCTGGGCTTAAAATCAACAGTTGAAAAACTACAGTTTCTTTGAGATAATCAGCAGCTTTATGCATTGATTCAGTTTCAGCTGCTCCTGCATAACCTCCATGCTTCTGTTGTATGTGCGCCTTTACGTGCTCCTCTATGCGTGACTGCTTATTCTGACCTGCCGCTCTCGTCTGCTCCTCTCTTTCTGTGCTGCATTGATTCTTTGTCTCCTACCGGTTTCCGCTCCACAAAGCTACAGTCAGTGGGACAGCACTGATCTGCCACTGTGTGACGCCTACCGCCACAGAGACAGCTGGGCTTCCCCTGGCAGCAGCTGCAGCTCCACCCAGGGAGACAGAGAGGATGTGGAGGGACCTCCTTCACAGGAGACGGTCCCACAACACCACGTCAACGGACACGGGACATCTTCTATAGAGAAATCATAAGGAGGAACATGGACAAAGACTGGAACACTAGTGCCCATTTTGTACTGTATTGTTTTATTCATATACAATTAGGTCTGCAACTGTTTTTTTTTTATTTTCTGTGATGGACTTAAACCTCGGCTTTGTGAATTTGCAGCATTTTCTTTTTTTAACCAAGTGTACAATTTGAATAATCTTGTGTGACTTGGCTTAAAGCTACTGTGAGGAGCTTTTAGTTTGTCCATTTTCTTTGGCGCCCCCTGTGGACAAAACAGCACATCTTGTTTAGCCTACTGTAAGTTATCTCGTGACACCTACCCTGTAGCAGCAGTTTCAGATGAAATTTACAATGCAGAAATAGTCAATCTTTATGCTGATGGTCTTATTTGATTTTTTTGTGGGTCATATATAACCATCCTTATTCATTTCAGTGTCTTCCATAGCCAGCTAAAAGCTCCTCACAGGGGCTTTAAGTAGTGAAAATAAGTGATCTAACCTTAAAAGTGTACGCTTGTTTTTTTGTTATTGCTTTATTTTTTCTTACTCCTATCACGTCTCTTAATAAAAGGACAATTTAAAGCATGTGGTTTTTATGTTTTTAATTTGACCTGTTCCTGAAAACTCTTAAAGTAATCATCTACAACAAAACATCAAGATGAAACCTCAAAATAAAAAGTTAATGTTCCTTATTTAGAGTAGTATTACAGAAAGTGGTCAAATTTGCAATCTGACATTCCTTAGCCCGCTTTGCCTTTTATATAAACCACGACAAAGCAAATTAAATGTATACAAGACCAAAACTGTCTTGGGAGTCCTTTTGTCAATAGTCTTCAGATAAATCTTGTCTGCAAATTTTGTCACAGCTCATTTGGACGCTCAAATGTTAATAAAAAAAAAGACATCAAGTTGAGAAATTAATAAAAACAAAAACATCCAGCCTCTTAATATCGCCGATTCATCTTCTTGAACTTCTCGTAGTGGTAGTCATCTGTGGCCTTCTCATTGTTTGGACGTTTGCGGTAGTTCGGTGGTGACGATGCTGTCGAGTAACAGAGGATATTGTTAAGATCAAAGTTTTACTCCTCAATGACAAGAATGTTTTGAAATGCTCAAGATCTGAACTGAAAAGCATTGTAGTGTTAATGTGCTTTCTTTAACAGCGTGTCTTACTCTCTGGTCCTGGTTTCTCAGTGTCTCCCACACGCAGCGGCCTCGCTTTGGGCTCCTCTCTGTGTCTGTGGTGCCTCTGTGGTGCATTCACATCCTCATGATAAACTGGGAAAATTCAAATTCATTAGTAAATTACACCACCTTTTCACCTCTCAGTCTCTACTGGCACTAAATGTTTAGACTGAAAGTACTCACAGCGGTTGTGTTGGACGTAGTTGACAGCAATGTTTGTGGGTACAAAAGATGTCCCGTTGTCTTTTTTCTTGTTCCTTTGTTCTGCAAGAAGCTTAGCCTTTGCTTCTTCTGTGAAGATAATGTTCTTGATCTTTGCACTGGGAAAGAAATAAAGGAAATTGCTCCAATGTGATGATGATGTCATTACTCATCGATTTTTCTTTCTAATTGAAGTTGAATCCTTTTTTTTTTTCAAGAATAGTCTATACTCACTCAATACCAAGGTCGACTTCAGGGATACCACTCAGCATCTGGTTGGATAACATCTCCTCTGTTTTCTTGGCAGAGTTGACTCGGATGTTCTCTGGCAGCTCATACAGGTGATCCTCTGCATTTTTCGCCTTAACTTTCTGTTCCTCAGCTTCAACCAGCCCCTTCTTCTTTTTCAGCTCTGTCTCAATATATTTCATCCTGTTCAAGTAGATACATGAAAAGAGGTTTTAAATACATCCATGAAGCACAACTGTGAAGGTATACACAACTGTCCTTTATTTTAGGTGTACAATCTTTGACATTCCCTTAACTTTATAACTAAAAAGTAATACAAACAGAGCATGCTAGCACTATTGCTTAGACAAAGCAAATGTTCAATGTCGCTCTTTCAAAATAAATATATTAATGACTAGTAAGTAGAATTAGGTGCTGCATTTTAAGCTTTGTGTTTTGGATGAACCTGTTTGCCTAACTTAAGTCTGAACAGTGTTTGCCTAATGGAATTTTGAGTGAGGGTGTATCAGTATATGTGTTTCATTGACGTGCAATTGTAAATGTGTAATACGTACATATCCGCATCCTCATCTCTTCGGTTTGTTTCTGCAGAGAAGGATGTTCCCAGGTTGAGGTCGGTCTCATCTTCTGTCCTGCATGTGGAACAGAAATCAAAGAGGTCCAATCAGGGTCCGATTTGATGACATTCATTTTTCTTTTTTAAATGACACACTAGCACTTATAGGATATGTTCAATTCTGTGTCAAATAATGAAAGCGAAAACAAGGTTTACTTACATGTCCCTATTCCTGTCTTTGATTTTCTTCATGTCCACAACCCCTCCAGTCTTCAGTTTAAAGGGGTCATTCTGTGGGACATAATGTCATGTGTAATTGTAATATAACGATATAATAGTCCAATATTGGACAACACATCTTCAGATAAATCACATTTTATCACATTTCAAAAAGGCCACTTCCTTCTTTACATGAGAAAGTTTAGATGTTTAAATGAATACATATTTGAACTTGAATACAATTGAAAAGTGATCCATGTTGATACAATTTACAAAGGGAGACTTACATCAACTTCAGCATCTGGCGGCAGCATATCTCCCACCAACAGGGCGGCCACACTAAACAAAAGTAAAATGTGGATTTGTATTTCATAATATCACTAATACCGCAGAGACTTAAACTTTGTAAATATGTTCAAGTGCTGCATTCAAGTTACCTGACTCCGGTCTGTCGTTTCCGCAAACTCTGAAGCTCTTTAGCCTCTTCTAATTTTGATCTGAACAAAAACAACCATTGACAACACACAATTATTCAACTGAATCAACCCAAACTAAAGAAAAATGTATGTGAAACAGTGAAGCTATCATTCTTGACTTTCGCAGAGAGGCGGCTACGTCAGCTAACAAAACAATGTAGACCGTGTTGTGTTGATGTCGTTTAGTTTAAGTAATTTACCTGACTGCTTCAGTGGTCTCATCTTCCTCCACATCTGATGAGTCCCTTCTCCTCCGAAAGTTTTTGCCGCACGGCATTTTCAATGCTTTTTTATTTAAGTTTTCGTAAAATGTCGCTTGACGAAAAGCAGATGGTGGTGAAAAGGGGACAGTTTTTGCAAACGTACAATAATATTGCGTCACTTCCGTCGACGGGCTCCGTTTCTTTTTTTGCCGGTTCTACTTTAGATAATCACAACAAACATGGCGACTTACAGACAGGTCGGCAGGTTGTTGGGTATTTCAGCAAGACTTTCACGTCCGTAAGTCAACTTGTTTGTTAGTCTAGTCCTTCTACTTTACTCCTCTAATGCTTGTGTGGATGCATCGAGCTCTTTAATGCTCAGAGCTCCTCTTTGGTTTACTGCTAGGTCGCCAGCTAGCGACGGTGCACACTGACGCAGTTTGATTTAAATGAGAGATGTGATGTCATAATTGCATTTGACTTGTATAGCTTTTACTTTATAAATCACAGTAAGCTATGGAAGCTTGTGTCATACATAAATTAGGAAAGGAAATGTTATTAATGCAAGTTCATAGGAGATATATATCTATATATATATGTATATTAGTCCAGAGCCCTACGTCACTCAACACCTAGAGCACAGCTGACATGTTGCAACTCGCCTCTTGTGTTGGAAACAGGTCGTTTCCACTCAATACCAGCTGAGGGACCAAAGTTGAACATGAAATGCACTTTTCTATTTTCCTTCATATCACAGTCGACGATGTCAGCTTTTTTTTTTTTGCAAAAAATGTCTGCAGATTGTTCAGATTTGTTCTCTGTGTAGGAGGAAGGTAGACTTCAGTCCCTATTTGGACACAAGTGTTTTAATTTTTTCAGTTTTAAATGTCTTCCATCCGCGCATGCAATAATGACAATTTAACTGGTTGCTTTACAAATGCTTAAGTTTTAACCTTCTTGGGTTACATTGTTTTTCCATGTTCAGAGTTGCCGTCACCTTAAAATCAAATCCATCCTCTCGTGCGCCAAAATTCTTACTTTCGTGATTTTGAGCATTGCATATGATTCCACTTCTCTGTGTGCCAGGAGATATTTATGGAGTTAGAATTTTTTTTAAATAATTACCATCATTAATGCATTTTTTAAACTTTATCATGGCTGTGGACAGAGTAGAGAGCTGTTTTACAGTTCAAATTAAAGGCTGAATTAATTTAAATTGAAAGTAGGAAAATATTTAAAAACTACAGGATAATACTTTTTTTGTTGACATCTTGTTACCCCAGAAAATGATCTGTATATAAAGAGCTCATTCCTAATGTAGTGGCAATTTCTTCTTGTGTGTCATATAAAAATTGTCACTTGTGTCATAGGAGCCAACCTGTTCGTTCCTGATGCGTGTCCACTTAAATATACTCACAGATCTGTTGTTTCACTTGATTTCTTATTTTATTCTTAATTCCACTTTCCAGAACAGATCCAAAATGAATATATCAAAACTCATAACAAAAGGTCACGATCAAAAAACATTTGCTGCGTGGCTCCTATACCTCCACCACAGTCCACAAACAAAACGATCTACCTTTTTTCTCACCACCTGTGCATCGCACCCAAATGAATTAACTCGGCTCCACCCATAACACAAAATATGCCCAAATAAATCCATTATTCACCATAAAGGTTTCCATGTCAAATCAAGTACCTCTCATAAATTAATACTTATTTCTAACAACACAAACAATATACTCTATTAGCACAAACTTAAACCATACTTCTGAAACTAAAGTTATCATGATTAAAATGGCCTCTACAACTAATGTGATTTTCATCGTAAAGCTCATGTTCACAGAAAACCATAAAACCTGATGTATGTTTTTAAGTCAGTATATTGTTCATTCCCCTTGGTGAAGACAAGACCGTTATGACCAAAACATAACATGTGCAGGTTGAGTCACAGCTATGCTAGTCAACCTATTGCTTCATTTACAAAGGGATTTAGTGTTGTGCACAAAGGAGGAGCATAAAGAAGTTGGACTTACTCTAACGGTTCTTTTACAAAACTGTTACCATCACATTATTAGGAGGGATTTAAGAGGGCATGCTTGAATGTTTTTTTAGTTAGCAGCATTAATGTGTTATCTAAGTTTTTTAGTCGTACTTTCACTCTCTGCAGTTCAGTAACATTTTTATGACAGCTGTAGTAACTAGTTAATTTGTGAATTGAAATAAAGAATACAAAACATGAAAAATAAATACTGTACATTTGTTTAACTGTTGTTTATTTAACTAGACAGTTTTTAATTTAGTAACCTTTTTTCTCTCTCTTACATGTTGTCTCAGTCTTGCCAGCAATGGCTTTCAGTGTGCAAAGTTACATTTGCCTTCACATAGCACAGGACTCCCAAACAGATGGCCACAAAACCCCCATTGGGTCATTCCTGGTTTGTATTCTTACAGAATCCTTGTGACTCACCAACTTTAACAAAAACAAAATACTATAAGAACTACCTCACAATCTTATTCTTTGTGTTTTGATCTTTTTCCAGGAAGAACAATGTTTGTGCAGACACAGGACACACCGAATCCAAACAGCCTGAAGTTTCTGCCTGGTCGCACGGTTCTTGAATCTGGAACTTTGAATTTTGCTGGCCCTAGAGATGCTCACTGCTCGCCTTTAGCCAGGTATAAAACTTATGAAACAGAAGCACTGTCACAATGACACATTACTTTCAACGCAGGAATTTTAATATGGAGTAGCAGGAGAAGCATAAGGTTACATCATGATATTGACTTTGGCTTTGTTCCAGTGCTCCAGAATAAAATGGAAGCATTTGTTCTCATTATCAGTAACTCTTGTATTTTCACGTCGCTGATACTTTGGTGATTTATAAACCTGCTGTACCAGTAGCAGAGATCTAGTGTTATGTCTGTACTCACAAATACGTTTGAACACTTGAGTAGAGAGAGTTCTCTGTGTCACGCAGGTTGTCCTTGAGTCTGTAGCCAGTGTCTTTCAAGCCAGACACACTGTTCTCCTGTCTCACCTGGGTCAATGTGAATAAATATGTGAAACACAATGCAGTTGTCCTACCATGCAATCATTACATTCTCTCACTGTGGTTGCTTGTTGGAGGATTAAATCATTAAGTTTCAACAGTCTAAATGACTAAAATGAATTATTCAAATAATTGTATACATAATGTATGTTAGATTTAAAGTTTGATGTGGTCATACTTGTTCATAGAAAATTTGTAAAGTTACACTTTTCTTGCATTTCTTAATTTTATCCCCCTCTTTCAGTTATTTCACAGAAATGTAAATGTGATGTCAAACTACATAGTGATATTTATGTGTCATCTTCAGACAACTGTTTAGAATTGATGGAGTCAAAGGTGTCTTCCTCGGCCCCGATTTCATAACCATATCAAAGGTAAACGACCATGTAACAGGTCAATGTTGTATACAAAGAATGCTGCTAAGTTTAGCCTAATATCAAATTGTTTCTTTTCTCTCTATGTAGGCTGATGATAACATGGAGTGGAAAGTAATCAAGCCTGATGTATTTGCTGCCATCATGGACTTTTTCACTTCCGGACTTCCTGTTGTAAACGAGGACAGCAAACCCAACGCAGACACAGGTAAACATCTTTACCCATTGTTCATAGAGAAACACTGAAATAGGAAGCACTTTCTAGCAAAACCTGTTTAAGAATTCCAAGCAATGTCCAAGCAAGGTCCTTTTTTTCAGCACCTTCAGATGATGACGATGAAGTTGTTGCTATGATCAAAGAACTGCTGGATACTAGAATAAGGTAGCTGCATGTGAAGATGTCCTGTAAAGATAACAATGGCTTTTCCCTGTTAGCATGTGGTTCCCTCCTTACTTGACTCTTTGATGTTCTTCTTCTCCAGACCAACAGTGCAGGAGGATGGAGGGGACGTTCTGTATCGTGGGTTTGAGGATGGCATTGTTAAACTGAAGTTGCAGGGCTCTTGCACAAGTTGTCCCAGTTCCATTATAACTTTGAAGAGTGGAATCCAGAACATGCTGCAGTTTTACGTCCCTGAGGTTGAATCAGTGGAGCAGGTTTGTTCGCCTGTCTGAAGATATGTTACAGAACATACAGCTTAATGTAGTAAAAGTAATACATACTTATTTATCTTGACTTACTCATTAGTGTTATCATGTTTTTGTTCATAAAAAGGGACTCTAATTATTGCATAGTTGATAACTGCTGTATGAATCTTAATGTTAAATGTTAACATATATATATGTCAGCAAGAATAACACTATCAGGCAAAAAATACTTAAAGAAAATGTGATCTAAATATGTCAACAAAACCTTTTTTTCATTACAGGTGAAGGATGAAGAGGAAGAGGACGCTGCCCAAGCTTAAAATGCAAAAACCAGAGTAACATTTACACATTCCTCCCTCCCCCTCCAGCCACCTCCTGTTATGCTATAGTTTCTATGCAATTAGCTTCTGTATAGCATAGCTGTGTGAAAGAATGCAGTATAATTCAGATGCTATCATTGACCTTTGAAGATACTCTCTGTACAATGACAGTATTTAAAGAGTACGGAACGAAGAGCCCTGTAATAGAAACCTAAGACTGTCGAGCTGAAATAAAACATATTTATTATTTCACTTTGTTGGATCTTATCTGATTAAGTCCCTTGTTAAAAATAGCCTTAATGGCTGGGATACATGCACTGTGTTTATATGAATAAAGTTCATTAAAAAATGATACCAATGCTTTGCCTCCTAATGTAAGAGTATTTCATTATGAGCACTGTGCCTTTGCATTAACTAGATATCACTGCAGTAATTAGACAATTTGTATGTGGTTTAAAAAGTTGAGGATACATTTGATGCATTTCATAACATGTAATAGTGATTTTTGTTTTAACCAGTTGTGTAATTTTAGAGATATTTCTAGGCTTATACCCTAATACACTTACCCGTTTCAGGCATTTATATTACATAACACATGGATCACTTTTTAAAAACTTGATTCTACATTATTGTTTTAACAATTTCATGTCTGAACTTTTTTTCTTAGAAACAAATTGAATTTGAATGTTATAGCCAATATGAATTCCAGATATGAGGCACTATGCTGCCTCATATTAGTGCTGGCTTTGGCATACTTTTCATACAACAGTTTCACTAGATAGGAAGTATAGATAATAACATTTTGTATAGACCCCAGCATGAATAGTTTAAGAGAAAAATAATTATTTAAAATTAAAGAGTTATGATTTTTCTTTTTCCTTCCACATTTTCTTCATGTTTATGAATTAAGATGAATATTTGAAACCTTGCCAGCCTGTTCTTTTAAGGCAAACGTAGATGTTAGGTGCACAGCAGCCGGATCTGTTTGTGTCTTGCATCCTTATGCCACGTCATGAGTGCGGACGTTGGTGGCTACCAATTGATTGATAGGCCGCTCGTCCAATCAGAAGGCGCCATGAAAGAAGGCGGGCCGTGAGTCAGTAAAACTAAAGGGGGGGGCGACGCTTATCTGACAGGCGTTCGCAGCTACCCGTCACTGGCACCGAAGCTGTAGACATGTGTGGTGAGTATTGAGTAATTTCTACATTTACCACTTTTAATGGGGAATGTGTTGTATTCATAACTTATCACAACAGCAATGCGAACACATGTAAACTACTGCTGTTATTGTTAGCTAAGGCTAATGATGTAAATAAGTTGAAATTAGCTAAAGGTGGCTAAACTGAGTTAGCGAACAAGGGCTAGTGCTGCTGATGCTGTAAGCTACCAGAATATATAGAAACCACTAAGCGTGTTTCGCTTTATTGTACCTGCTGTCTCTATAGTTTGAGGATACTGCGTTTTACCGTCAAGTCGACATTCATCCCTGTGGTTTAAAGTGATGTCCTTTACGGACCATTACGGCTAAAGCGTAACTCTGAACTAAACATGTTCATCTGTGGTTTTGATGTTGCAGCATTGAAAGCTTTGGTCAGCCAGGTGTAGGTGTTAAAATGTTAGTATTTCAGATTGCATTGATTGAGGAAGTAGCTGGAAGGGATCATGATTTAAATTTAAATAATTAGCTTCTTCTTCTTCTTCTTTTTTTATCTGAGACTGTCCCAGATTGTCTCACACACTTGTGACTGATGCCTCTCTGTCTCCCATCACTGTCACCGCAATCTGAAAACACCAATCAGACCAGATAGACTATTTGGGACCCCAAACAAATGTCTCTATTAATACCTTCTGACACAGTGTGGTGTTACATCAGGCAGCACTTGTTTTCATCTCTTTATTAAACCTGTTTCTTAAGCAGAGGTACATTTTGTGTTGTTTTTTTCTTTCTTCTTGCTGCAACATTTTCTTCTTGGCAATTTGCCCCACATAGCCGTCCTCCCATCAACTGCTGATCTGAATGAATTCTCTGTTGAACCAGGCAGCCCACCCTGGCTCTCAGTTGTTAAACAGTGCTGCATTTTATGCGGTGCCCCGGGGCCAATTTAGGTTAAACTTCTGCATGAGAGTTACTTGCTGGATAGAAATGAGACTTTCTGGGGATGCTAAATGTCTACAGTAAGGATGGACATGTACTGACATGTGTCTGTGTAATTCCAAGTCTTGATAGCCTGTTGATGTATCATATCCTTACTTATCCTTGAGTGTACCATCACAGTTACTTGTTTTGTTCTATAGTACAGTGGACAGTTATTTCCTTTCCTATCCTTTCTTGTAGGCAGAAGATATCAACTTGCGTAACCCCAGGTCAATGGATAGACGCACTCTATTGTCTTTTAGCAGGTCTGCCCAGATAGAAGACTGTTTTTTCTAGTTCTGTAAATACTCCTGTTTAGACTGTACAGACTGGTTTCTCTGGGATTATTCAACATGTGGTTTTGAAAGGAATACTGAGGATGACACCACTAAGTAATGTTTGTCTAACTGGGTCATTTTCCTGAGGATTTACAACATTACATTCCTCTTGGTTTCAGCAGCTGTTTTGACATTTGTTTCCTATGTAAATATATCTGTCAGAAATTCGACATAATAATCTCTCGTCAGATTTATTGCCAAAGTATGATTTGGCAAAACTGAATACATAGGTGAGTATAGAATTATACAGACGAACGGTTTCTTCTTGCAAAGGAACAGATTGTTCTCTGTTTTGTACATGCTTTTTCAATAATGGAAACACATCTTTACACGGCCCAAGTAGTGGTCCACAACTTTGGGTTATACTGATGCAAGACTGTGAACTGTGAAGGATTTATCTTTTCTGTCAGTTGCAAAAGGGTTAATTGTAGATGTATATCTGACAGGCATTTTAATCAGTCTGTGCTTTCAGCTGCACATCTTAGCATTCACATATTCTCAAGGAAAAATGAATGAACAAAAGTCTTATTTCATTCAGCTGCAGCACAGAATCTTCACATTTTGTTTCCCTTCTCAGGAATCTTTGCCTATCTTAACTACCATGTGCCAAGGACTCGGCGTGAGATCCTTGAGATCCTCCTCAAAGGTCTCAAGCGCCTGGAGTACAGAGGTTACGACTCAGCAGGTGAGAAATGGAAAAGACATCAGACACTTGTTGTTTTTTCAAGCTTTTTTTCGTCACTGCCTGGTCATGGGAATATTATTCTTAAGCATTATTCTCATCAGTTACTCTTCATGATTTTTGTATTTGTTCTAATGAGATATGAAAACAAAGAAAGACTGATGTTTATTCTGAATTATTAAAGAAGCATTATGTTGCTGGACTGGACTAAGTGAACCACTAATGGAGATAATTTACTTAATGTTAAGTCCATTTGTGTTTCAGGAAGTTTCAGTAGCTTATTTTTGCATGGAGAGTGTAGCCTGTTCTATTCTAATAGTATTAAAAACAAGTAGTAATAAAGTTATTCTTCGGGATTTGTGAAACCTGCAAACGTCATCATTCTCTTTTTAAATTTCCTCAGGTGTGGGTATTGATGGTGGGAATGGAAAGGACTGGGAGTCAAATGCAAAGTCCATCCAACTGATCAAGCAACGTGGAAAAGTGAAGGCACTTGATGAAGAGATACACAGTAAGTCCAGTTTAAGTGTTTAACCTACTAATAAAAAAATTAATCATTTACATATAAAGCATTGATTTGTAATCTGTTGGAAGGATGGAATGCCTAAATTTGGCTGTGTCGGGTTGTGTTTGTTTGACCTTTAGAGCAGCAGGATATTGACCTTGATGTGGAGTTCGATGTTCATGTCGGCATCGCCCACACCCGCTGGGCCACTCACGGTGTACCAAGCCCAGTTAACAGCCATCCACACAGATCTGACAAGACAAATGGTCAGTTGTGTTGAGGATAGAAAGCTCATTTACTCCACAAAGTGTAGCATTTCCCCTGATCAATTTCAATGTGACACCTAAAGTTTGTCTTTCTGCTCTGCAGAGTTCATCGTCATCCACAATGGAATTATCACTAACTACAAAGACTTGAGAAAATTCTTGGTGAGCAAATATTATTCATGAAAATATTGTAGATATTGTTTTCATCACTCTGGGAGCAGACAGGACTAACTCTGTTAACCTCCACCACTGAAGGAGAGCAAAGGTTACGAGTTTGAGTCAGAGACTGACACAGAGACCATTGCCAAGCTGGTGAAGTACATGTATGACAACCGGGAGAATGATGACATCAACTTTGCTACACTGGTGGAGCGGGTGACCCAGCAGCTGGTAGGGACCTGCTGATGCACACAGATGTTCCTGTAGTGATCAGAAGGTGAAATAGCTTGTCTAATTGTTTCTTCTTCCGCCTGTCAGGAGGGAGCTTTTGCCCTGGTATTCAAGAGCGTTCACTACCCCGGAGAGGCAGTTGGCACAAGGTATGTTTCCACTGTCAGGCAGTCAAACTGCGGTGGGTTATTTAAGAAAAAGTTGTTGTTTGCTCATAAAAATGTCCCTGCACAGGAGAGGAAGTCCCCTGCTGATGGGAGTGAGATGTGATCACAAGCTGTCTGCAGATCATATCCCTGTGCTCTACCGCTCTAGTGAGTTTAAAATTCAGTTTTGAGTATAATCCGTCCACACGTGATAGCATAATTGTGACTGAGACCCAGTTTTTCTCTTTTCTCAGCTGCCAAAGACAAGAAAGGCTGCGCCACTCTACCCAGGACAGATCAGGACACCTGCTTGTTCCCTGTGGACGAAAAAGCTGTGGAGTATTATTTTGCCTCTGATGCAAGGTAAGCGGATAATTGTGTCTTGGTGTCCACCTTTTTAAACAGCCTTTAAAGATTCTCTGTAAAACATACTCCTCAGTCCATATGTCTCAGCCCCAACTGCAGATTATAAATTAAAGGAATGGTTTTCTCCTGTCATGCCAGCGCTGTGATCGAGCACACAAACCGGGTGATCTTCCTGGAGGATGATGATGTGGCTGCCGTGAAGGAAGGCCGATTGTCCATTCACAGGATAAAGCGCAGGGCAGGAGACTACCCAGCCCGAGCCATCCAGACCCTGCAGATGGAGCTGCAGCAGATCATGAAGGGTGAGTGCAAGGTCCTCCTTTGTTCTGGTTATATCTCCTGGCTATGTTTGCAAATAAATCATTTGTGCACTGCCTTGTAATTATGTCCTGAACCCTGTTATTATTGTGTTCCTTTTAAAGTCGCCGCTCCTATAGCTGAGCTGGCTTTTACCATGCAGCCCGAGGCCTTCCCTTTATCATTCAGCTGATTGCAACCCTGCTGGATTAGTTCAACCCCAGGGGAGCACCTGCTATAAAAATAAACCCTCATCTACAAGAATCCTTCCTCCTTCCTCCTCCTTACTTTTCCAAAAAAAAAAATATATATGATTCACTGTTTTAAAGGAGGTTGTGGGATTCCTTCTTGGCTGGAAACAGTGGCCAGGCAATCATTTTGGAACTTAGGAGTAACTGGTTCCAGCAAAGAAGTAGTCCGGCATGTAACACTTTGTAAAATGGTAAAACATTTTAAGTAACACCCTGTAAAACTGTGAATTGAATATGTCACACCCAATTTGATGTTACACTATAGACACACAAGGTATCATGTGTTAATAGGTGTAAGAAGATGTTAACATCTAGGAGAGCATGCTGTTTCCCGCCAGGTCTAAGCTAAACTAACTGGTGGTCCGCTCCATCTATATTGTCTATCATCGTCTAATCGATGAAAGTTATCTGGGAACAGATCAATCAATCAATCAAACTTTATTTTCATAGCACCTTTCAAACAAATTCAAATTCAGTTCAAAGTGCAGAAAAAGTAATTAATCAAAAAGTAGTCTGAAAAAAATTGTTAAATAGACTAATGCACACCAATTAGAATTTAGTAAAATAATAATAATAAATGCTTGTTTCTTGGTATTATGAGCCCAGAAAATAAATCTTCTTGATATGTACTTGCCATTTAAGGGAATTAATTCAGCAGAAATAACATTTTGATGATGCAGGTATATACAAGGTTGAGCTTTATCAGGTCTGTCCTCAAGAAGAGAAAAAAAAACAAAGTTAAAAGGAGGCAGGTTCCATTGTTTCTGATTTATCTCAGGTAGTAAAGTAATCTAAACGCTGATTCTTTTTTTGGCTCAAGTTGAAATGTTTGATCACTCATGGATTGTTAGCGGATCCTTTATGCAGATATCTGTACATAGAGACAAATAAATCATTGTCAGGATACCGTCGATGGGAGCTGGCATGTCATTAGTGGGGATAACATTCCACCTATTATTTGTGCCTACATGGACTTTTTCTTCTGCGTACACCAAAGTCTGCTGATATGTAATTCGTTAATACAACTAGGACCACAAATGTACTAGAAACGGAAACAAGAACACTACCACAGTTTATCTGTGTAGTTCTGTGTGTATTTGCATTTGAATGATTGTAAATAGAGATTAGCTCTTAAACTTAACCTTGCAGGCACACAAGTGACAGAAAAGTCAGCACACAAATGTCCTTTTAGTTTGCTTTAATGCTGATGAAGGCCTAGTACTGAAATGTGTCCGTTGTTGTGTTGCTATATTCTTACTCGTATAAAGGAAACTAAAAAGACATTTGTGAGCGGACTTTTCTGTCTCTTTTTACTCTTGTTGCGGTCGTGTACCTGAAATCGTTGTTTACTGTCGAGTGTGCTCCTTTTGTGCTGTTTTTACAAGAGTGATACTTCTCATATAAGCCTTGGGGATATATGAGAAGACATTAACAATATTCCACCATTTCTGTTACTGATTAATCTGCTGAATATGTCCTTGAAGAATACATTGTTCAGTGTTATTTTAAAACTTTAGTCTCACTCCCCATGACCAAAGTGACTAGTAGTCCAATGCAAACACAATCGATGACAACACACAAAAGCTGAATTAGAAGTTGTTTGCATTTTCCTGCTTTTGTGTCTTGTTTGTGTAATTCTGTGTGTCTTTGCATGTTCCTCTTCTCCTCTGACTCTCCCTCTGTGGACCAGCAGAGGGCAGAGCTGAACTGATGTTGGCTGGTCCCTACATTCCTATGTGGTCCAGTCATTACTCGGCCTCTCTCCTCATTTCAGTTTTTGGAGCCTTTCTGCCTAATAACCTAATTTGCGTGACCCAAATTGCTGTCAAAGGCAGACTGACAAACGTTCACATATTTTACTGTCACAGTTTCTTATTGATGGAAAAACACCATCTCTCCAATGTATCATGTTTGGTTTTTCTTCGTTTAGGAGTGACCTACCCTCTAGCTTTTAAAATGTTCATAAAGAAGACTAAAGACTCCCTAAGTTTCCAGTTTTCAGTCAAACATAAACCGTTTTGTTACTCTTCCAGGAGGCTGTGGTTTGTGTTTTCAGGTACTTCATGTAAGTCAATAAGACCCTTGTCAGAAAGCCTCTTGTGGGCTCACACTTTATAAAAAAGTCCATCACTATGCTCTTAAGTGGCATTTACCTTCATTTTGTTTTTACTAGTGTTGGAAATGATCCCCTGTTTCTGATCCTCTCACCACAGGAAACTACAGCTCCTTCATGCAGAAGGAAATCTTTGAGCAGCCAGAGTCTGTGGTCAACACCATGAGAGGGAGAATCAACTTTGACAACAACACAGGTCAGAGTGCTGTCTGATCACTTTCCTCTGTGGAGCATTGACGTAATTACTCACCTGTTAATGCACTTTTCCACTCTGGCCTCAAACATTTCCCGCTGACACATTCATGTCTTTGATCCAAGATTTCTGAAAAGGAATGATTATGATTATTTCATTCATCTTCAAAGGATTAACACGGATATATACATTCTTTGAAAAATGTCCATGTAGCATTATTTCTCATTATTCTCCTCCGGTGCTCTTTTGTGGTAAGGTGAAAGATCTTTGAACCGAATGATGAGTTAGCTGTTGGCTTTACTTTCAGTGATACTGGGTGGACTGAAGGACCACATCAAGGAGATCCAGAGGTGTCGGCGACTTATCCTTATTGCATGCGGCACCAGCTACCATGCTGGAGTAGCTGTGAGTAGCCACTGACTTTTTTTTTCTTTTTTGTTATTAAAGCACATAATGGAAACATGTCTGCACTGCCATCCATGTTGAATCCAGCAGACTTGCAGGAAATGTGAGGTCTGTCTTGTGGACACAGGTGCAATGGTTGTGTGCTGGCACAGTCTCCGTGCTTGGCCTCGACTGGCTTGTTTTAACAGAATGACGCTGAGCAGTGCTCTGTTGCTTTTCAGACCCGCCAGGTCCTGGAGGAGCTCACCGAGTTGCCTGTCATGGTGGAGCTGGCCAGCGACTTCCTGGACAGGAATACTCCTGTCTTCCGAGACGATGTCTGCTTCTTTATCAGTCAGTCAGGTGGGGAGGCTGCTGCCATCTGGACTTGATTGAGTGCACATTCCCTAGTTGTCTTCCACTTTCCATCCCCGGGGGTCACTCAGCTTCTTCCTGATTTAACTTTCCTTGTGCTCAACTTAAGTCTTAGCCAGTTATCCAGTAGAGTTGAGTTTTCTGTATTTGTACTGTACTTCTCTTTTTTTTGCAAGATGTGAGATTAATACTGTGGTGGTTTTTCTGTTTCAAATCATTGTGTGATGCAAAAGCTATTTCCTAACAAACTAATAAATCATCATCATTTTATTGCCACAACTGTAACATTTTATAAACTGTTATGGTATTCCGTTTCTTTCAATCGTCTAGGGGAGACTGCTGACAGCCTCATGGCTCTGCACTACTGTAAGGAGAGAGGGGCTCTGACTGTGGGCATCACAAACACAGTAGGCAGCTCCATCTCCAGGGAGACAGACTGTGGAGTCCACATCAACGCTGGCCCTGAGATTGGAGTAGCAAGCACCAAGGTGAGCCTGTGGCACTTGAATGGTTTTACCTTAAGACACATTCTTTTCATGCTGTGTTATAAAGCAGTACACATGCTAATCTATAAAATAATATCTACATCTACAAACATTCATCTTCATGTAGACTGTTAGCTTGTTGATCGATTGTTCATTTGGCCCAAAGCAAATGTATCTGAATCAAACTTTTATGTATGTTTTAGTTCGTTTTCAACGTAAAAAGTTAAATTATTAATTTGTTCCATAATCTTGTGTTTTTTTGTTTGATGGGAAATTGATTATGTTTTGGGTTTTCAACTTTTGGTCAGACAAGAACAGCATTTTAAACTTCAGATGTCTTTAAAGATTTTTTTATAACATTTTATAGACCAACAGACAAAGAAAAGAATAATCACTTACAGCCCGTGTTTAAAGTGACGTTCCCCTACCATTTTTTGGATTTCTGTTTTGTTTTTGTGCATTGACACTGATGACTGACCGCGCCCCTCCAAACCTGTGTCTCTATTTTCATGTCTTCATAAGAACATGTCTGTCAGAACTGCCACCTTAGTTCTGGAAGTGCACTTGAAATCACTTTACACCATACTGTACATCTTTGCATTAATGAAGAGCAAGTGAGAAAACTGCAGGTTTTTACATTGAGCTTCAAGAAACTGTGCACAAATGTGTTGCATTATCTTATAAATGAACTCAACGACCGCCGATACTTAATAAACCCAGATGAAAACTCTGCTGTGAGTATGGTTCCACCCCTTGGAAGCTGACTTTTTCCTCCTCTGAACCCACTGGGAATTAAAGAAGCCTGAAAATCTCATCTCAAATCATGCAAAGCTAGGATCCTTGGTTTTATGCCTAGCCCCCCACCTGCTCCACAGAACCCTAAGGATTGCCAGTTTGGACTCTGAGCAAAGCAGAGGAGCATTGGAGCCCCAGTTAGTGCGGAGAGAGAGAGAAAAGGGGGGGAGCAGGTCCTTCCCTGGCCCAGCCCTTCGGCTTGGCTTAGCGTCTCTTGTGCTGCTCCAAAGTCCCAGAGCACGCCTCAGAGACGCCATCATTTACAGCTTGGCTGGCTGGGCCACATCCCCACACCCAGCTCTACCAAATGCTGCACAGCCGAGCTCATCAAATCAATAGAGAACATGTATTGCAACCAACTACTAAATTAATCCAAATTCTTCTGCTTGGCCTCTAGTTTCTCTCTTTCATGCTAATTTGACTTTTTTGTGAACTGGAAAATGGGAGAAAAAAGTGTGTTACTATTCCTTTGATCCTACTAAAGATTTGTGGATTGAGTTAGGACTAAAGATACTTCAATGCTTCAATAGGCAAACCCCTCTGGCTGGTCAGCTGATAGTTAATAAAAGAACACATCCTTATTGAATTAACTGAAAGAATCTATAGGAATTTACATTGGACAAATCTGGTCATGTTTCAGCTTGTCTGTTAGGGTGGTCATTTGTTCTGCAACAAAAACACTAAAAAGTTGGTGACAAGAACACTGAAAACACACCACAGTTTACAATGTGGATTAATCATAATGCCATATCTGACCCGACAGAGCAAACTGTCAGAGTTGTGAGGGACTGTGGTTTGCGTGCTGCCATGAGGAAATAAAGTGTAAAGGTTTTACAGCTTTTTTTTCTTGGCTTTGGACACTGGCATTTCAGAGTCTGCAGGGTCCTGTGAAATGACTTGGCTTTACTTGTGCTCAAATTAAACCTCCCAAATGGGCATGGATGGCCTCCGAGGTAGTCAGAGATGCAGGAACAGCGAGAGAAAGAGAGAAGAGAGAGCGGGTAAATGATGATGACTTGCATCAAGTCTCAAATGTTATGAGGTTATGTGCGTTGATTTTTTTTTTTAGCGACCAGAAAGAGTGATCTGTGTTGTAGTGTTGTGTTAACATAGTTTTCCGGGATGAGAAGCCATGGCTTGACGGAGCTCAAATGCACGAATCTTATTGCTGCTTTGCGTGTACTCAACCCTCCTCTCCTTCCATTTCTCATCTGGTGCAGATTATAAACTGGATACAGAACTCCCTATCAAAACAGAGAGACAAGAAGCACAGACTCAAGCAACTCTTAAAGCACTATTAGGTTTCTGCTTTTCTGTGTTTAGTATTGTGCTGCACAACATCAAACTCGTATGCATTTAGTAAATGGGTCACAATGGCTAGGACTAACGGCTCTTAATTAAGTGCTTGCATGAATCACACCTACACTCTTGTTTTTCTGACTTTTTCCTCTCCAGGCTTACACCAGCCAGTTTGTTGCCCTGATCATGTTTGCGCTCCTGATGTGCGATGACAGGATTTCCATGCAGCCCAGACGGCGTGAGATAATCCAGGGCCTGAGAGTGCTTCCAGGTAACTAAAGACAAACGTTTTCAGGTTCAGTTAGGGATACCCTAAACTAATCAAGAATGTCTGGCCTCTCTGCCACTCCCTGCCTAACATTATGAGCCCACATGACAGCAGCAGCATGTTGACACTTTTGATTAACATTTAAATCCTCAAAGATGTGTTTTTTTTCTGCTCTCTTTGTTAGATCTGATCAAGGAGGTCCTCAGTTTGGATGATGAGATCCAGAAGCTGGCGACTGAGCTGTACCAGCAGAAGAGTGTGCTGATCATGGGCAGAGGATACCATTATGCTACCTGCCTTGAAGGAGCACTGGTGAGCAAGTTTTCCGTCTTTACCAGTAAAATATTTTTCAGATTTTCCACTGTTCCCATTGTATTCATTAGAGATTAGCAAAATGTCTATGGAGAACTTTATCAAAAGAATATCTGACAGCTGATTTACCTCCTTCACTTTAAAAAGAGAAAAGGTTGTATTTCTGTCGTCCCTTGTGGATAATAACATCATGTTTGTGGATGTTTTCTTCTCATGTAGAAAATCAAGGAAATCACATATATGCATTCAGAGGGCATCCTGGCTGGAGAACTGAAACACGGTCCTCTTGCTCTGATTGATAAACTCATGCCGGTCATCATGATCATCATGAGAGATCACACATACACCAAATGTCAGAACGCTCTGCAGCAAGTTGTCGCCCGCCAGGTAAGGCCCAATCACACCACACAACACTGCTGAAATAGTTATTATAATGCCAATGTTTATATATTTAGGTAATGTTAAAGCAAGTTGTGATCATTCTACAGACAGGTGTCTCTGTGAAATCAGTCCTCTCTATAATACCCTGTTCCTGTCATTTGTTCATTCACTCAGTTCAAATCTCAGGACACATGCTTTTTACATGTCAACAACTTATCTGTGATGTTTTAAACAAAAAAGGTACAACATTACATCATACCAACCAGAACATCTGAAGTTTGAAACTACACTTGAGGGAGTTTAAAAGTTTACATTTAAAATACTGATTGTGCATACAATCAAAATATCAAAATACACATTGTGCATGTTAGGTCAATTTCCACAGTCTTGTCTGTGCCACACCTCTGATCCTTCACCTCAATAAACCCCAGGGAGGGGGTGCTTCAGCGTGACATCATTACTGACTGTAATCTGTAGCAGATGTGGGTTTAAGGGCTGTTAAAATCAACTGAGAGAAAAAGAGGGGGAGGATATTGGTATTTTTTCAGATCAAGCTTTTTCGTGAATCTTGCCCCGCTCAGGAACACGCTGAATGATGATTTTGCTTTATTTGATTTTTGCAGGGCCGCCCCATTGTGATCTGCGACAAAGATGATTATGAGACCGTCAAGAACTCGTGTCGCACCATCAGAGTGCCTCACTGTGTCGACTGCCTGCAGGGCGTGCTGAGCGTCATCCCGCTGCAGCTGCTGTCCTTCCACCTGGCTGTCCTCCGAGGTTACGATGTAAGTGTCTTCACCCTTCAGGCTCGGCAGTAACTGAGACTCTTAACTATTTTAACATATGAGCCTCTTTACGTCATCTTTCACTAAAGATGTGGTCAAATATCAATTTCAGCACTCCCCCTTCAAAAGCACTGTTAATCCACCCTAAACCTTCTATTATCACTACTGTGCTTGTGTTTATACTGTATGTGCTATATATCTGTGAAAACAGTTGAAATAATAGATATTTTTACATTTAAAGGTGAATTTTCCTAAATATGCTGCAGCTCATTATAAGTGGTGTGTAGCTCAGTGTCCCTGATTAACCTGCTCTGTAGCCCTTGATTGCTCTGAAGACACTGAGCACAAATGGCAGAAACAAACACGCAGTGTTTACATCTTCTGACTCACCTCATTTTGGCTGCAGCATGTGTAGTCCTTATTTCAGAACACTGCACTGAAGGTGATGGTGACTTTAGCTGCCACATTGAAACATTACAGTCCCATGTAAATACCTCAATCAACGCAAAATTCAGACTTACAGTGAATGTTTTTTTTTTTTTTTTTAAGCTTTAAACAAAACTGACACTGTTCCTGGTGTTTTGATGTAGATAGTGTTTACTTACTGTTGTTCCGTTGTGTACTTTGCTTTACTGGATGCTAAAGCTAAAAGTAAACAGCTTAACTACAGCTCAGCATGTAAATACAAGCTCTGCTGCTTACAGAGCATTTTTCTTCAGAGAGATGTCCCGACAGTGCAGCCGGCTCAGACGTTTTAAGTTCACTACTCACAACTCTGTCACATCGCTCTGCTGTTCTAAGCAAACATTTATGTGAACACAGCTCTGCCACACGCCCACACTTCCGTTTCTTTATGTCCAAGTATTTAAAAGCTCTTAGGATTTGCTGCCACATGTCTGGCTCACAAATAGAAGTTAGTTTTATGTTGTGATGTTGGTACATCAAACTTAGTTGGTTGACAGTAGCAATTTGTCAGCAGCATTAGCTCTGTCATGCCCCACATGGTAAACAATTTTTTTCATTTGAATACAGGTGGACTGCCCAAGAAACTTGGCCAAGTCTGTGACAGTGGAATGAAGCGCGCCCTTCATCACTCGACAACAAAAGCCTGGCAGACACAAACATGTGTGAAGACAACCAGGGAGCGTCTGTACGCAGAAACCAAGAGAAGATAATGTCCTGTTTTTTTGTCTGATGTCACAGCCCTTTTTAATGCAATCTTAATCAACAGTCCTGCATCTCGCTGTTGTATATTCTCTGTATCTCCACCTCTATCTTCTCATTATTGTCGTATTGTCGTTAGAGAAGTAGTTCTGTCCTTGATGGCGAGGTCTGGGCTGGCACTGACTTATAACCTTTATATTGTGTGGGTGTTTTGAAGCTGTAGTAACTGACATCGGTAGTTTAAGGTCGTTTCACTTTCACCCTGGACAGTTGTTTAAATATATGGTGTTTAGTCTCGGTGGAAGGCTCTTAAAGCTGATGTTAACTGAGAGAATCTAGATTTTTAAAGACCTCATTGGCTTCCTTTTTTGTTACTTTTTTTCAGTGCAATGATTCGTCGTTTAGTTGGGATATTTTTCTTTGGCAGCTTCTCATTCAAAGTGTCTTTTTTTTCACCGTTGAAGTAAGCTTAAATCATTCCACAGGTCAGGACTTCATTATTGCCGCACAGTTTGTCAGTTTTGACTCAGTTTCTCTTCTTTTAAGGACGCGAAAGTTTACAGCAGGAGCAGCATCACAAGTTAGATGATGGGAACGCTTGTGAATACACAACTGTGTGAAGCTTGTTATCCTGCATGAACTAAGACTATCAGATTTCTAACTCTGGCTTTGATTTTTCTTTGGAACTAAAGCATCTGGATTACAAAATATTGTTACTATAAAGCTTTTCATGCACCATTTAGTTTTGGAATCTTGTGTTAAACTCTGTTGCTTCATTGTTCAAAAAGGAGATCTCATTGGTCTCCTATGCGTTTGAATTATAAACTGAAGAAATTTAAAGTTATATGAAGTTAAAACCCTGAAGTAGAAGAACAGACCACAATCTGCCAACAGACTGCTGCAATATTGGGACCATTTGAAGCTTTTTATTTTTATTATTATTATTTTGTTACAAAGTTATTTGTTGATTTGAAACGTGAATGTTACTGTCATTTAAAAATGTCCTGTTAAACCAAAAATCTGTACAATGATGGCAGTTATACACCAAAACATGCATATATATTTGATATGTTATATTGTTTTGTAGCCAAACTTGTACTGACATGGTTACTGTAGGTTGTGTGGTGTGAAGAAGAGAGAAGGTGGGCATTCACACGGTTGTTATGGCAGCTTGTCAGACTGTAGATGTTTCTCTAGAGAGGCAGATGCCAGCTGAGTGTGTCTGTGTGTGTGCGTGCCCAAATGTCTTTTTCATAGGGCCAAGGAAAGGACGATGTGTTACACACAGTTAAGTAGTGAAGAAATTTAAGCTGCGTGTTTGTTTTTCTTTTTAACTCCTCACATATTTTAGTTGAAATGCATTTATCTTACCTTTACAATCAAGCCTTAACTTTCCTTTTTTTTTCTTTCAGTTTTTCCATTTCTTTTCCCTAACATTGAGCTTCTTCTGAGCCAGTGAACAGGTTTGAAAACTAGATGATGTTATTACAGGTACTTTTGTCACCCCCCATTGATTACTTAGACTGGAAGAACATTGACAAAAAGACGCCACACTGATCCTGAAATCTGTTAGATGATGATTTTCTGACTGATGGATTTCTGTGTGTGTGGGGGCACTATTTATTAGTGGAGCTGATGCAATAAAGTGTCAAGTACTTCCCATTTGAAGTGTCTGAGCAAAGTTTGTAATAGTGTCTTAAAGGTCACATACATAATGCAAAATACACTTTGCCTTAAACATGTTTGTCAAACATTAATATGTGTCCCTAGCCTTTTAACCCCCCCCCCCCCTCCCCCAATTATAAGAAAAGTCCATCCTCTCTGTTTTTTGCCTGCTCCATTCTTCAGAAAATGTGTGCTCAAAGAGACCGTTTAGAGATTTTCCCTTCAAGACATCACAAAGGGCAGTGACACTCCCACAGCTAGGTGTTTGTTCTGCCCTCTGAGTCTACCTTCTTACTCTAAACAATAGGGCATGGAGCGAGAAAGCCCAAGCCACATCCCCTTCCAGAGAGGCGAGGTCAGACACAGCCCACTTGCATTTAAAGCTGTAGACACAGAAACAGCCGGCTCTGAGATTTTTCAACTTGTTGAAAAGGAGGATAATATATGAAAATGTAAATATTGGGGATCAAAAGGCTTTCACAATCATTTTATTCAAACAGGCGGTAGAGTAATAGACATGGACTACTTATGAGTGTTGACAGATCCCAAATGATTTCAAGTGCCTGTGAGGAGTGACCAGTCACAGTCTGCAAGGTGGACTATAATGTTTCGGTGCATCCATATGAAATATGAAATCGTAAGTGTAGTGACACTGGGTCTGAACACTGCACAGGGATAACAGTTGTGCATAGATGAGGGCCATGGTGGTCATGCAAACAGAAAGTGAACATCTGTAGAGAACTCGCACGGCATTCAGCACCATCTTTAACCATTTGGCAACTCCTCTTCTTCCTCCGCGGCTCAAATGAGAGCAGCTGTTGTTTCTGGAGGTGTGTTATGAAGGCCAGGCGAAACATCTTGTGCATCTTGGTCCAGAAAACCTGCCAGCGTTAACTTTACAAATGGATTCTGCTTCATCAAGTTTGAAAGGTAAAATGCTTAACTGTTGGGGAAAGAGAGTGCGATGCTCAGAAGGATTTCATTGCACTGACTGACAACAACAATGGCCTCTACTGCTGTTGCAGAGTAATCATAGACAACAGCTGAAGCTCTGGACAAAGTCGATCTCCATTTTCCAATCACACGGAGCATCATGGGTAGTTTTTCAGTTGAATGGAGCCAAATCTGAAACATTAACGTCCTAAGAGTATCTCCCAAGTCCTTTACCAACGTGAATAACCAATCACAGCAGTTTAAGGCATCTGAGTATTACACAGTTTTAAAAATAGAAATAAGGAAAGCTTATTAAAAAATCATCTCAGGTAATCTACAATTTAAACGACTGCTTTGACAGATCTCCCTGTTGAGTCGTTGGACTTTTCCTGTATCTTTACTAGTAATTCAAGTAGCCTCAAGAAATTTGAGACAACAAATGAAACAGATAAGTTCATGAACAGTATATCAAAGCAGAAATACTTTCCTAAAGTTAATGTTTAAATATCATACTGCTTTTAAAGCAACATTTGGATTTGCAGAACTGTACCTAATAGTTGTCTTGATATTTAGAGCTTTGAAACCCAGTGTTCAAAAGGCTTGTTGATTTGAAATATATCAGAAGTTGATGAAAAATGTAGATAACCATATGGACTTGAGTTTAATGCGTGATCTCATACCATAAGAACACATGAGCTGTTTTTTTATAATCTAATCCACCTCACAAGTTGTATGTAAACCTGACACTAGTGACTGTTGGTTTAACACAAAGCTGTTCTCACTTAAAGCTGAAAGAGTCTGGAGGAAAATCTTTCAATAAACTGTCAGTCACTAATTAAAGTCTGGGGTTCAAACTGAGTCTAACCAAAAATTACTTGAAAGTAGATAGCAGGCTGCATAACTGTTGCGTCTTTTGTTGCTGAATCTCACCATATGGGACAGTCCGTGTCATCTATATAATCTGTGATGTAATGTTTATATATGTTAGACAGCTGTGCTGTATTGGTGCATACTCAGTGGAAACGCAAACTGGCAGCAGCCTACATCTTGCACTGAGTTTGTTTGACATGAGAAATCCACTGAAAGCTGCCCAATAGAAAATGTGCTTGCATATGGATCAACTTTAAATGACAAAATAAAAAGTCAGATCTTAATCAGAGTCGCTTTCTTTGAGAAATTCTTTAGCTCCTTCTTCAACTATGTCCTGTGCACTGCCCCCAAATTATGTCACAAATGATTAACACCAGAGAAGCTTTTCTGCAGCCTGTCCACATATCCTGAGGATTGAATGGGGCCTAATACTTTCCAAGATGGCTCACTCCATTCGTGCATGTGACATAATGCAACATGTGAACATGTGGAGTTAGTTAACCATCCTCTGCTTTTCTTTTTTTTCCATCAGAGGAGGTTAGTGAGGTTCCTCTGTACTTTTTGCTAAATCAGTGGTCTTGACTGACTGTCAGATGAAATAATAGAAAAAGAAAATTGCATGTAATAAGAATCTTGAAGAATATTGTTATATTTAAACATAGTGTAGAGTAAATGGCAGGTGGGGACATACTATAAAATGGTGAAAATAAATAGAACTGTGGACAAAAAGCCACGTTAAAAAAATGAACCAATTGATGTTTTATAAAGCTTTGATGAAAGCTTAAGAGTTCCTGTCATAGAGTAAATCTAAACGCTTTACAGGTCAGTTACTCTAGTTAAAAAAATGTAGACAGACAGAGTCCAATTTAATACACTTGAACTGTTTACTTTATTTAGAATGAAAAAACAAATATGTCTACGTTCTGTTTTGGTGTAAAGTTACAAACATCCTTTGGGACTCATCAGAAGATTCCGCTTCATATTTACCTTGTGAAAATAAACCAAGTACGTCTGTGTAAGATGATATAACTGGCATATTGACTCAGGTCAGGCTGCTATGGCTGTCAAAAACAAATATTGAATGGTCACTAACACACACACACACACACACACACACACACACGTGGTTGGTTGAATAAAAATGATTGTTAGTCTTTAGTTAAGACAGTTTGCAAAGCGTTTCCCTGACTGTGACACATTTATTTCCACTCTGAGGTGCACAAAGATAGGCCAGCTATATTGTAGCAGATTTGTGTTTCTAGTGTGGGACAAAATATTATTAATTTATAATTGCCAATTATTCATTATTATTATTATTATTTATATGAAAAAATACAGCGCACTAAAAAGGCAATTTTCCTGGCAATTTGACTCACCTCATCACTATTTCGTGATCAAAAAAGAAGTTGCAGGATAAAAAAAAAGAAGACATAATGTTGGCGGCGGTGAAAAGAATGAAAAAGATGAAGCGTGATAGGTGAAACACCAAATTGTAGTGAATAAATACATTAAACCTGAACTTTACCCTTTATTTTTGGGCATTATGTATTCTAATGTCAATCAAATATTGAAATGTGATTTTTATATGATTGTGTTGAAATGGATTAATTATCACAGAATAGACGTATCATGATATTAAAGGTATCCTATCATATCATATCTATTGTATCTTGAGTTACCCTCTGAAATCCCACCACTGGCTGTTTCATTCCCCTTACTGTTGTGTTTAACAGCAACAAATGTTTTCTAACCAAAACAATTAAAACTCTGAAATTGTGGTGCTTAACAATAAAAAGTACAAAAAGAAAACATATTTCTGTTTCATAAAACATGATAGAAATTAATAACATTTCTAAAAAGTACAAAACAAAAATGACCAAAGTATTATTGCATGCAGTTGCTCAACATTCAAAAGTACAATAAAGTCAAAAACATGGATTTAAGATGTTTCTGCTGAGTGTGTGGAACATTTGCAACTTGAGTCTTATCTCTTATCAGGAACACAGAAACAGATTTAAATGTCAAGGTTGTTTCAACATGACTGTGCTCCTCGTCAAGGGCCCGTGTAGAATACAAGTTGTTGGTCTTCTGCTGGGTCAGGATTTATCCAAACTTGTGTAGTCATGGAGGGGACGACAGGGCCTGAAGCAGCCCTGAGGATCATGGAGGTGAATGTTTTTCAGCTCATCTCCATGACCTCATCTGTAGGGAATGTCTGTGTAATTCAAGCATTAGAGCAATTGCACTGTTGGGCTAAATGTGTACAAAAGTCACTGTAGACATATAGCTGAAAACAAGTCCTCACTGCACCACTTCACAAGGCAGGAAGACCACCGTCATTAAACAACACACTCACATGTGCTCGCTTGCAGGTACAATCAATAAAGGTCATGTGCTGATTGTTGCTGGGCCTCTCAGTTTCTTTTAAAATTCCTTTAACCTCTCTCCGTCTGCTGCTCGAGCCCTACAGACCCGGATGAGGCGGTGGGCGAGCAGGTGGAGGGGCTCGAACTGGAGGAGGTCCCTGTGGAGGAGGAGGCAGGGAACCAGTCGGGGAGCCAGAAGGTGGAGGGCTCGGGGGAAACATTGGCGGGGCAGGTATGTGCAGGTTGGTCAGAGGGAGAGCCCGGTTAGGAGGTGGAGTGTAAGGGGGCGGTGTGATGGGAGGGGAGGGACTGGAGGAGCCGGGTGGAGGTGTTGGAGGAAGCGGTGGCAGGGTTGAGAAAGAGAACGATGGAGATGATGAGGGGCTGTTGGGGGTTGGTGGGAGGCTGACCTGAGGTGGAGGTGGAGGCTTGTAGATCTGAGATGGGTGGAGGTTGTAGTGTGGGTAGTGAGGAGAGGGAGACTTTGAGCGGGAGAAGGTCATGCACCTACCCTGATGATTAAAAATAAGAGCAGATATTAGAGGAACTCACAGTGCTGAAGATTAATAACAAAACATTTGATATTTGATGAGATGGGCATGTCCATGTGGGCCTTTGTCCAGAGCAGTGACTGTGTGTGGCTGGCTAGCCAAATGGAAAACGATTGGGCAGTTTCTGAAATAATAACTTTATTTCATGAACCACTACAAAAGCCTCAGGTTGGTTTACTTTGCTGAGCAGTTAACTTTCATAACAGCATGTAGTGCCTTTCTCCAGTGTTTTTACACCAACATTCAGCACATTTAGTTTTGAGCTTGTTAGCAGAAATGCTGTCGACACGCCTTGTTTCCTTCCATTGATATAAAATAAGATTAACAGTCAATATTCAAACAGTCATATATTTTGCCTGTCATGTATAGTCCTACAAGCAGACAGAAACTCGTAGAAAACATCTTGCTAGCTAAACACAGTGCAGTGGCTTTTTAGCTAGCTACGGAATAAGCTAATGGTTTATTAAATTTATAAAATAATTCTTCACAGATGTTTCTCTGATAACTGTTAGTATTCGGTTTCGTAGCTTCATATGTTAGCAGTAATGGAGTAAAACCACGTTTATCTAATACCAGACATAGTCTACTAAATTGGACATAAAATAACATGACATGTGAAAATATCATTTAAGAAATGTTTTGTTTTGAAGAACATATGATTTGTCATTCAAAGTAGTTCCACTGAGTTTGTTTCTCATCATGCTGCTTTATGTTAGTCTTAAAGTCTTGGACCTTGTAGATGATATACTTGCAAGAAGAAGTTTTCTAAACCTTTCATTTCCCACAAATTCTTTTTGCTTTCTGTTTGAAAATACAGATGATACAGCAACTCTCCCTTATAGAGGTCTTGCCCTTTGGAGACACTCGACATGCCTGTGTCTTCAACCTTAATCACAGCTGCCGTTGAGGACAGTTCAGGGCTTTCTGTGCTTAGCATGGACAAAATAAGCTGTCGTCACTCTTGCCCAAGATGAAGTCATGAAAGAGAGACTGCATATTTAAGAAAAAGCTACACCCAGGCCCGGGGACGAGATGCACTGAGGGGATCAGGGAGGTTCAGTGATATGGGATGACAGCGCTGCTCTGTGCCTCTTATTTACCAGAGGGGCGAGATGACCTCTGAGACAAATCCTGGAAAAATGTTGCATGTCATACATAAACAAGGAAGAAAAAATAATGTCAACTTCTATCATTCCCTCAGTGTTATGAGACAGTGAATACCATATATTTTATTGTCTCTTGGACTCTTCCATTGTTTTATAAAGTCTCAGCCAACCTGAATATTAGTTAACACTGAAGACAATGTAATAATATAGTAGTTCAATGTTTTATAATAATGAGTTTATTTTGCTGGGATGTTCTTAATGATTAATTTCCCTGTTAATTACCATTAATGGAGACGCAGACATTTATGTCAAGTAACAGGAACCTGACTTGTGTTTCTGTCTGGCAGGCAGTAGGATCAACATGCCTCCTACCCTCCTCCTACTTCTCCTAAAAGGATTCATTTAGGGGAAGTTATAAAAGCAAGGCTTTGACAAGAGGCTCTTAATTGCTACCAGAACAAGCTTGTTTACTGCAAACCATGAAGGAGACAAGTGCCCAGCTTTTTTTTCTTTTTTTTCCATGCACTAATGAAGAGTTTTAAAGTGTGTAGGACTACCTGATACACTTCTAATTAGAGTGCAGTGTGTTAGCTATAATAATTGTGTCTGATATTTCCTGTGAGCCCAAGGTAACTCTACATAAACTGAGCATATTGCTTGACTGTTTTTTTTTTCAAAATTGTATCAAAGTTGCCCTGAAGTAAGACCAGCTTGCCTTGTTGACTGGTTGACAGTTTCAGAAGGATTAATACTGAGAATAACTTGACAATAAGATAACCAGAACTTGTGTTTAAGTTGACAATTCAGAACAAATACAAAAAAATACTTAACTGTTGAAAATGTTAAAAGAATAACAAACTGTTCTTGCTTTGTTGGATAAGATTATTTATAAAATGAATGGTTATTAAATGTGATTGTCTCTGTATCAGATTCATACATATTCTGCTGATGGGAATTTAATGCTGCAGCTGAATTACAGAGCTAAAGATTTTCAGGCTACACTTCTACACTTCTCTCTAAAAAAGTTCACCTTCATTTACTTGTTAGAGGAGCACTTGTTTAAATATGGTATTCTGTGCATGGTGTGCAATCTGTTTTTGCACTCTGGCTTTAATTTAAATTGTCTGTTAGTGGGATATGTTGTAAACTGGTCCATAAAACGATTTCAAATGAACTGCTTAAAAAAGTCAAGCTTCCTGCTTCTTAGCACTCTGAGTGAACCACATTCAGTCAGCTAATCTAATCACTAACAGCTATCAAACACTTGCTCTGAGTGAAATACAAATCATTTAGTGGCTGTAGATGGAAATATTTCTATTAATTTATTGTTATGTTATTTTTACTTTACAGATGTCTCTACACTATCAGCTTAAGTTTTAAGTGAACTATATTGTACCCCTGGGTGCTGGGCTTCTGTTTTTCCTTCTCCACCTGTGTTCCTGAGGGCTCAAACAGCAGCAATTGATGGTGATAATGAAATCCATAAATCATGGCCACACTATAAAATCCTTTAAGACTAGAGAGCCAAAACAGCTGTGTGGTATCTTATACAGGTTCATGAAAATAACCAGCCAGTCATCAGACAGTTAATAAAAGGCTGTGTCTGAGAGCAGACATACTGTTTGGACTTCTTTTTTATAGGTTAACAAATGAAGTTGTCTTAAGGTATTATGGCTTAACCTAGACAGGAAATGATGCTTAAAGAAGGCGGAGGGGCCCTGCAAAAACAAAGTTTATTGGTATCATCTCTAGCCAAAAAGATCTGATTACACACTTAACTAGTTGCTGTACATTTTGCTTGTTGCACTGGCAGATATGTTTACTTCTTACAAGCAATTTAAGCATAATTTTTGCTTTTTATATCTTGATATAAGATGTTTTTCTGGACTTTTCAGATTGACTGTATATCATATTAAATGTGATGAGACATTTCTGACCTAAAATTAGACTAACATTCTTGCTAAGATTCTTTCTAATCTCACTTCTCTCACAACTCTGAATGTAGCGGCTGCCTGCATTTAATAACATTTGTTACTCAGTGAAAAGTGCAGCATAAGCCTTTTTTATTCTTATGGATGATCAATACAGAATCCCCTCAAACTCCTTTTCTTCAACACTTGAAGATCCCACAGTCTCAGACGCCGTGTTAGCTGCCAACAGTGGAGGTCATCACATAGTTATCCCCCCACTGCAGCTGGCCTTTGAGGAATTACATTTGCCTTTTCATAACGACTTCTTCAGACATCTTTACATCGCAGCATACTGCAGCCAGACGGTGCAGACCAAATCCTAACTCACCACAAGTTTTCCCATGAGCCTCTCTGTTCACACTTCATTGCTTACAGCTGGTCAGTTTTCTCAGCATTTTCAGATACAGATTAGTCTCGGCCAAAAAGCAAAAGCAGAGCCAAGGCTTTACGTCAGGCTGCTCTACAGTCATATTTTAAGACTATCAGTGCAGCTTTTCAGATATTCTTACCTTGTCACCTGGATGAGGTCTCATTACAGACACACGGTCGTAGCCTTTCCTTAAAAGTACCCACAATGCATCCAGTTTGCTCTATGGAAACAAAGAAGACATACATCTTAATTTCTCAAACACCTGAACAGGTTTATGGTATCTTTTCATTACACAACGCCTTTTAATCAAATTCCTGCAGCCATCTCACAGCAACACAGAACTAAATCATTTTAGTTCGTTGTTAGCTGACTTCTCATAGTTTTCAAACAGCAAATATTTGTCAGATAAGAGCAGGAAATGCAGCTGTTTTTCTTCACAAAACTGCTGGCTGTGCATCCTTGTTCCCTGTAGGTCAGTCCTAAAGGAGTCTGGTTTCTATTAGTGATCCCCCTGCGGACTGGAAGCCTTCAGAACAACTCCTTTAACCCTGTGCTGGCCCTGGAGAAAGCGACTGTGTGCCAGTAGTCACCTCAGCATGATGACCTTAACACTTCTTGTGCTTTTTTCACTTTGACATTTCAATAATGCTATAACTTACATATACTCAGACAGATTAATAATGAGGGATTTGTAGCAGATATTTACTGGATACACAACACATGCTAACAACTTTAAAAAAAAAAGAATTTTTCCAGAAGAGTTTTTAAACAACCATGAGTGCTTGCATTAATTAAATGTAAGCTGAGCTCACAGACTTGTTGGACAACTATCTAACAAATCCTCCACCATATCTTGTTTTTTGTATGTCCCTCAGTTGAAATGTATTATTCCTGTGTTTATCAGTTTAGTCAACAATGAGACTTTCTTCAGACCAGATAAATCCCCCAGACAGTTTCCTCCTCCTCTTGTCGTTGTTGTTTACCTGAATGGGTGAGTACCACTTGCGGGGCCCCGGGGGTTTGTGCATGCCATTGTTGAGAACCCTCATGGGGGACGGAACATACTCCTGCTCAGGCATCTTCACTTTGGCATTTTTGGCCTTTTCCAGCTTTGCTCCTTCTTCTGTGGAGCCTTTTTCTCCCCAACGGACCTGAAATGGGGAGAAAAGAGAATCATAATGGTTCTTTACGCTACATTTAATGTATCACTAGCTGATCGGGAATAGATGGTCAAGAGTATCTAAATGTCTTGGTATTTAAAATGTATACATGAGATTGTTTTCAGAGTAGCGCAGGTGTTATGGGTTATTGGGTTGCTTTCAAGCCCTTCATCCTTGAGGGTTGAGATTTACATGATCTCACCTCCATCCTTTTTATTCCTCCTACTCCTCTCCCTCCGTAGTACGAGGCATCCACAGTCGGCCATTTCTTCTTGGGGGATTCAAAGTCTTCATCATCCTGTGGCAGAGGGAAAGTGAGTTGGTGTTATTGTTATATATTTATTCAAAAAAAGCTACTTCCAGTTGTAATCACAGGCAAAAAAAAAGACTTTGAATGTTTTTTTTCCAAATGCATACATTTCAAATAACACCCAGAATTTGAGTAACTTGTTTGAAATGTCCTTTCATTTGTCACTAGGAGTTAAATGAAATGCCTCTGTGTCTGGCCTCCCTCAAACCCCACCCTAATTTCTGTCCCCTCTGTGATGTCTGTCAGATCAGAGGAAATTAGAAAGCCCACTGGCTAAACCTTTGCTGTTTCAGCTCTCTAATACAGTCCCTCTGACTCATAATCTACCCGGATGTTGGACAGCAGAAGCCAGAATGAAGGCTGGAATTTGTCTTTGAGGCCATGAAAAAAACATTTTCTAGTTAAATTAATTTTCTTTTAAACAGGTGAAATTGATGCAGCCTAATGTGCTTCACTGTCCAAAGATATCTTGATGTTTTTGTGCAGAGGTTTTAGGCGGTCAAAAAAAAAAAAAATTGTTGATCAAATTTATGTGAAATAATATGATGAGTCAGTTGTTTCTTCAGCGTTAACCTCTAAGACCCAAAAGTGATTTGATAAACACGAATTAAAGAAAATCAACATTTAAAAGAGTGAAGGTAAAAACAACAGTAGAAGTCAGGATTTCATTGTTATTCTAAGAGGGCGTTAACCCGCATCACATTTATGGAATTACTTAATGAGTGAAATCATAGATTAATGCCAGACAGCGAGAGTGTGACTCTGCATGGCCATTTAAGGTTTACAATGTCAGAATAATCAGAAAAATTACACAACCTAAGCACTGCCAGCTGTCTCAAAGTCTTAAATAATGGGATTTTTCTTTTGGAGACATAAGAAACAGATCAGTGTGCACGATGCAGCTCCTACCGAACTCTCGTCCACAGGTGGTGGTGGCGGCTCATGGATGATCTGAAACGATTGCATGCGAAGAGAAGGAAGTGAGGAAACAACAAAAAGTCACAAACAAGCATCTCAAAATAGATTTTTTTTAAATAAATTCTACATGTCACAGCAATGTTTATTTCGTGTGAAACAAGTTGAAAAAAACAGCAACACATGGTGGAGGAAATGTTTTCCTCCTTCATGTCTCTTCTCCTTTACAAGCGCAATCGATGCGCTGACCTAGAAATCTGCTCGCCAGATTCTTGGGCCTGACGCTGATTAGGGAAAGGGAGGAGTACTGGGCTCATAAATGTTGCATTGTTTGCTCTTACTCTCTGTATATAGCAATGCAATCCATTACATATGCTATGATATATCATATATGATATTTATTATTATTGTTTGTGACGTTATTTGATGCAAACTCTCAAATGTCAGAGCAGGTTGTGTGCTTCTACATGTTGTGGTTGCACAGGTAGTGCACAGTTGATACTACGCTTAAGTCTCTGTTTTGACCTTTTTCTCTTCTCATTATATATGTCACCACCTTAGCTGTCAGGGATTTTTTTTCCTGTAGTTTTTCTACATAAAATGCACTTGGCAAATTAAGTGATTCTAATTCAATTTGTTCCATTTTCCTCCGTGCATCACCAAATGCTGGACCTCAAACAATCCCCCATGGTAACCCAGCATCGCTTTCCTAAACAGACTTGCTGCACAGACTCCAATTTGCAACTTAATGGAAGAGAACAGAAAAAAAAATAAAGTAGGAACAGCCATGTAGTAAAAGCTGACATCTCTCTTTCTCTATCCCTCTCTCTCTCTCACTTTCTCTGGCAATTCCCAACACTCTTGTTTCCAGCACTGGAAACATTGAAGTTGGATGTAAAAGAGGCACTCTTCATTTGAGAGGACATGGACAGATTTTGGTAAAGGAGTGGCTGCCTATCAAGAGACTTTGATGACATATTTTCATGCTGGTGGTTTGACCACTGTCTAAATACTGGCACCGACATGTATGCACAGCAGATTGCAACCATTAAGCTTTCTTTCTCTGGTGAGTTATCTTCCCTCTCAAACTCTTAACCTAAAACAGCCTATTTGAGTTTTTGTTTCCTGACCACTCACTGGAAATTCAGCCCTAATGACTGATGGAAGAGTTTGCTAACTCTTACCAGTGGAGGTCTACCAGTTCATTTATCCTGGAAGTGTTGGCCAGAGGTCACCTTCTGTGACCTCTTGGAAAGGCAATTATTTCCAAGGCACCATAATTACTTAAACACACGTTAACCTGACAACCTTGACCTCTTCTGATTGTGGACTCATATACTGCAGGGATGCAAAAAGGCCAAACGCTCTTATTGACTCTTAGACCCTGACGTCCTCTGCAGGGTGAATGTTGTTGAGGTTAATGAGATGCCGTAAGGGGGTGTTACCCAGACCAAACAGACCAGCAAAATACATCTCTCTCTCTGTCTTATTGTCGAAAAAGCAAATGACTGCATTCCAAAAGTATTTGAAGCTGCCTAAAGTTAAGAAAGAATCGAAACAGACGCTTTCTGTTAAGCAGCATGCGGGCATGTTTTGATTGCATTAGTGTTTTTAGAGGAACTCACCACAGTGCAGCAGAGAGGCCAGAACCACCAGAGGAGAGCCAAGACCAGGAGCAGCATGAGGATGAGCAGAGCGATGGCCAGGATGGTCCCATCAGACTGGAACAGAGACAGACACGTCAACACAGACCGTCTGAATATGGAGAGCACCATTTAGATGTAAACCACTTCTCTCGGCTTTATTATTCATGCGGGAAAGAGGCTGTTTGGTTGGATCTTTCATGGAATCAGTGCTTACAAAACATTGTTTACATTGTCTCTTTTTAGCACGACTGCACAAGTCATTTTTTTTCTCTTTTATCATTTGAATAAATCATTGGCCATAACAAAAGGGTCTGAAGTTAAAGCGTGTACACTATATTGCACTCACACAGCCCACAGTGGTAATAGTGACCGAACTGGAGATGAAACTCAGTCCTTCGTTCATACTGACATAAAGGTTTGCTGCCCTGAAAAGAAAGGGAAAAATATCATGTTACTAGTTATTCAAGTGGTGTGTTACAAAATCAGAGTGGATGGGGTCATATGTATAAATGTCAGGACTTACATCCCTTCATCTTGAAGCACGGGTGCTGGGCAGAGAAGATATGTATCTTCCACAATCAAAGGCTTTACCACTATGGAAGAGACAAACATTACAACGGTGCCTTGTGGAAACAATTTAATAGTATTTAATTTGAAAGTATTACCACCAAATCTTGAATCAAGATAAGATAAGATACGATATTATACGATACGATAACTTGTTGCAACAGCCAAAGTCAAGGACAAGAGGAGTCAAGTTATGGATGGAAATGCAAAACACATGGATACAATACTGACAAAAATTAAGTAGAATATGAAAAAAATATTATAAAAATTATGTACACCATCATGAGATGATCGGTTATGGACAGAGAAATGCACAACATTGTCAGAACGTACACGGTGTGTCGCTTGTTTGCTGATGTAATTAATTGAAATACTGCAGACTATGACTATATTCAGCCTGGTTACTGTAAGATTAATCAGATTGCCTGACTTACATCACAACTTCCTCGTAACTGTGAGGCGTCTGGAAGAGCGAGAAATAAAACCATGCAGATTTCTAAAGAAGTGAAATGATGTCACTTCTTTCAGTGTGACTTGATTAACAAACTGTCTGATGGGAATGCCTCTTCAGAACAACTTCTTTGTTGTCTGCTTTGTCGTGATGTTTCTATCTCCTCTCAGAAACACTGATAGAACTATTTCACCATTGCTTTTGTTTTGCAGGCTAATCCAGATCTCCTCCTTATCCAGCTGGCTTTTAGGAAAGCAGCTCCAACTCGCATCATCGCCCAATTCTGTGTTTATTCTGGCAGGGGGAGTACATACCCCAAGACTGAGGGAATCAACACAAGCAGCAATACAGTTCACGGCTGATCTTCTCTAGAAACACCATGCAAGCATGAGAGGAGAGGAGGGGGAGATGGGGGAACAGTGCAGCCAGGAAAGCTCTGCGCCAATATAAACTGGCCCAGATATGGTCCAGCTCAGAGTTCATCTCAAGATCCACCTTGCACTCAGAATGGCCTCAAGCTAAAGTGGTAGAGCGTAACAAATAGGTCTCGACAAATTTCAACAAATTCTGGTAAAGAGCTGGGGGGGGGACCTGAGTTTACAGATTGCCACCACATCAATGACATGATGTTGACCAAGAGGTCAGAAACAATCTGCAGTCAATGTCTTGTAACGTCTGATGCAGAATGCCTCTGAAAGTGGAGGTCAATTTCTCAATAATTCTGGTGTAACCATCTGTTACCGTTAAACGACTTCCAGCTAAGACTTCTTTTACTGTGATGTGTTTCGGTAAATGTTTCCATTAGTACGTGTAGCGCTTGTTTATCTGTTTCTCTTGACTCTGACTTAAACAACTGATCAGTTACACTGCAAACTTGAAAAAAAAAAAAGAATTCTCTCTTGTTTTACCTGCAAACAACATGAGTCATGTTTGCACAAAATAACAACATCGTGATGAAACCGATTAGTAAAAAGTTAAAATGCAGGCTTTGTCACGTCTGTCCTCAAAAGGAGAAAAAAACGACTTTTAAAGTGCTTGCTGGTTAAATATGACATCAATGTATTACGGCCACAGAAAAGAAAGTTGTTATATTACAAGGATAGTCCTACATTTAAAAGACAAATGTTTTAAGAGAAGAAAGTCGTGATATTACAGATTAGTCATACATTTACAAGAATAATGTTGTAAACTAAGATCAAAGTCTTTATTTTACAAGATTAAATTTGGAAATATACTAGATTAAATTCGTTATTCTACAAGAATAAAGACGTAATGACCGTTGGGCAAGTGTTATAGTTAAAGCAAAGGGATTCCATTCATTTTTCAAAGCATTTTAAAAGGCAATGATTTCCATCGGAAATTTGCACATTTGTTTCATAAAATGGTTTATTCAGAATGTACATGGTTCGTATGCTTGACAAGTTATTTTCAATCTGAGACATTACCTAGAATCATTTTTTCATTCATACTCAGTTAGGCAAAATGGAAAACGTTAGTTTCTTTGAAACATTACGATTGTTTGCACCAAGGCTATTCCTTCAGTAGAAAAGATAGTCTTTTAAAGACACTTAAGAAGAACTTAACCAGATGCTCCATGTTCCTCTTTTAAACACAGGAGGGTGGCTGCTTTTCTGCTATGACCTTTCAAACTAACACATCTAACCATTCATTAAAGTCACCACTTTATTATTTTACAATTACAACTTTAATCTTGTGAAATTATGTCAGAAACTTTATTTTTTATTTTTTTCTAATTCTCCAATTGTAGATAAATGGCGTTTGAAGTGTACATGATGCATTTCAGGTAGTCAGGGAATTTAAACACACTGATCGGCACGAGGAGCGTTTTAGCGGCATACGCCATGTGTACAGATCTACATTTTCATGTAGCATCCATAAATAGAGATAAGTTTGACCAGAACTGAATTGACTGTTCGTGTTTTACCGATGGGCTGACTTAGACATGAGAAGCTTCTTCCTGCCACTCCATATGTGAAAGATCACTCAACATTCAGCATTTCCCAAATTAATTAATTACATCTTCAAAAACGTGTCTCTTGAGTAACATGGCTGAATATTATCCATAGCACAGTTTCAACATCTGTCACCAAAACAAAGGATAGCTCAGAACAGGACTTGTTTTTGCTGCTACTTTTTTCCTGGAGACACAAAGTTAAACAGTGATTCATCTGTTCAACATATGCACTTACATACCGCTGCTTTTCCTTTGAGCCATTTTACAATATTTGTGAGAAAAACAGGACTGGAGAGGAGGAGTCATTGAGGGTAAGTAAAGACATGTTAGAGAGAAAAGAAATGGCTTTTATTTTCCACATATTCCTCTCCAGGGGAGCCAATGTTGGCCTTATTATTTTTATTTACAGTTAACCCCTGATGTGAAGTAAATAATTTCCAGAGAATTGCGTGTAAACTTTCTGAGAGTTAGTGAATTCTGGAGGAGGAGTTAACAAGCATTATTGGATTGACGTAAGGAGATCATTTTACTCTAATTGTTTCCATGTCTGCAATGTGCCTGCAGGGAGGTTATGCTGTATTCTGAGGACATTTCAACAATAGTTTAAACACTGATAGGACTTTTTAAATACAGTTCATTGAATTTTATTTGAAGAGTAAGTTGTGCAGAATTTGCTTTTTTAGAAGATGTGCAGAATCTTGATGGCATCATCAAAGTAAACAAAATGTACTGTAGGAAACTCTCTCTCTCTCTGGATTGCTAATAAGTTCAAACTGTGTGCTAACTGTACAGATGTGAGAAAGCAGAAAAGATGGTAAACATGCAACGTGGTACTAACACAGAAACAGGCAACTTAAATGCAAGCCTAGAGAAAACAATAAACTCAACGTTTCCCTCAGAGGAGCAGACATTGTGTTTATGTCTCAGTGCTCATGAATACCTTGCCTTGTAATTAGACCAGCACCTCCTGCATCACTGTGGCACGCCTTGTAGGAAGTGGTTTAAAACTGTTACAATAAGCTACTAGTAAAACAAAAACATATGGAATCTGGCTGTATCCTCAAAGCCTTTCTTCTGCTGCTATGAGTGTGTACTGGTTTTTCTTGTTTCTGGCTTCTTTAAAGGTTGTAAAATGACTCAATATGTTGCCTTGATTAAAACAACCTCAGTATGGCTACTCCTTTTTATCACAGATGACCTAGTGCAGCTGACCTAGTGTTTGACTTTTGGAAAGCTAAGCTTTAAGAAGAATTTTACAACACACTCATCTGTTTATATAATGCCTGTATCAGCTTTTATAGTTTGAGTCAATGTACTCAGTAAAAACATTTGTGTAATGAAAAAGTTAATGCAGTGAAGCAGTGAAATTGAGAAGAAGCTCAGTGATGTTTCACTCACTCTTTGTGTGGGTCTCGTTGATGCGGAAGCTGCACAGAACCTTATCGACGTTGCGGGCGTGTAGGAACCCATTTCCTCTCACCACTACTTGGAAGGTCTCTGAGCGAGGAGAAGGAATAGAAAGGTCATCACACACAAAAAATCTAAATATATTTAAGTTTTATTTAAGTCCAAAATAAAACCCAAAAGCCATATAATGCTATAAAAAATACTGAACACTCTCCCTTATTGACTTCACCTCACTGTGTTACTGACTGAAATGACTTTTAGGAGACAAGTTTTGTGGTCAGGAAGGAAATACAGTAATACTGAACACATGCAACAATAACACCTTGTTAAATTATCTAAATAAAACCATGCAATGATTAACATTCATCTTAAAAAGGAGATTGTTCTGTGGTCTGTTAGTGTGATATCATTATTAACCCTCATGGGCCTTCTTTGATTCCTTATTACTTTTTCTAATTTAAAATGAACTTTTCATACAAAAAATATATATATTTAATTGATGACCTATTTTTAAACAGCTTTTTCCTCTTACAATCTCCAACTAAGTCAATTGAAACAGTAAATGATTTAGACATCCAACTGGAAGTTTGACCTCTCTGGGATCATCTTGAACCAAAACAACATTCCTTTTATATATATATATATATATATATATATATATATGTTGCAGAATATTATTATAGTACATTATTTAAAAAATATTAACCTATAAGTAACAGTAACATGTTGTTTTATGTCTTTCTTTTTTGTCCGATGTGCAAGCCTTATTAGTGGTTAAGGGAAGGGTTCCATTATTGTTAGTTTTATATATAGATACTGATAGATCAAATATTTAAGGAAAAAGTTAGATTATGGAATGATCATCAGTTTTACACTTACAACTGGAATGAAATGACAACAAGCTTAAAATTATGTCTCTGAAATATTTGTTTTAGGTGTTACACAAGGATCACTTCTAGGCTCTGTATTTTTTTAGAATGTATAATGTAGTGTCTTCAATTACTGATGTTAATATCTTAATGTGGATGATATTCTGTATTGTTTTTTTTCTGACTTTTCAACTTGCTCTTGAGTCCTAGAACTGTATTGTTGGTATTTTCAGAACGCTAAATCCTTATCATCCTAACTTTGACATAAACACAAGCTAATAGTACCTGATGAAAGGATAAGCGCACAGTGAAAAAAACTCTCATCACAAATATTCTAGTTCTCAGTGCCCAATATACCCACATGCAGAACTTTTATATATCTTACCCACTTTACCACATGGCCATCACAGCCCAAACAGCAATGCCTTCAACAGACCCAGGCTTGTTATGAAAGCTCCAGGTAGTGACAACACTGTTACTACCTACCCTCCCACATGGCCCCATAGTGGCCCCTCAACCAAAACGTAACTATTCCTATAAAGAAAAAGAACAGCAAAGACCACAAAAGAAAATAGAAAACCCCAGAGAAGTCTGAGGAGAGCTATAAGAAAGAGGACAAGGGATGTAGAGCCAAGGGTGAGTTGCCCTGTCTCTGGTGCCTATCGCTCAGGATAGGGCTGTTAGCCTACCTCCCCCTACTCCCTTATTTAATCCCCGTTTAATGAGGGAAGAGAAGTGAGGAAAAACAAATGAGAGAAATTGTTTTCTCCTACCATCTTCATTTGACATCTTCTTGACAGTCTTTCGTAAACCCTGTCCATGCATTCCCAGTTCTCCCAGTAATGAGATAGCTTATCGTGCTATGAATCTTTTACATTCCACTTTGATTGGAAGAACCCTAACTCCTCATTTTAGCTGTTCAGCTTCTGCTGCCAAATCTGCATACTTAAACCTTTTTCTTTGGTATGCTTCCTCCACAGAGTTTTGCAAAGGAACTGTCAGTTATATGAAATGAACTATCCGATAACTCGCAGACCAAAATACAATGTCAGGCCTCAGTTTAGTGAAAACTATTTCCTGTGGAAGAACGAGTTTTCCACTCAGGTCTAACAGCATCTCCCAATCCTAATGATTGGAAACAACAAAACCAATTTCATGTTTGTTTGTTTTTATAGAAAGTGATAATTATTAATTATGAATATTTGTTTTTTGTGCAACAACATGCAAGAACAAATTCTAAAGATCAGCACTAATTTATTTTATAGTCATTTTAAGACAATTATCTCAAACCTCTTCCCCTCAGTGCGACGTTGTTTTTACTGAGTATTATTCTGTTTGAATTCATTTGAATTCTGAATTTTTCTGTCTGTCATCGTCAATGTAAATTATTCAAACTTGAACTTTTTAGGCCTAAAAAGGTTTAATTGAATTATAGAAATTGTAAAGTTTCAACTATCATCCTGCTGTTTGATTTCTGTTATAGCCGGTGTCCTTAAATGTTTTAAGATCTAAAATAAAAAGACCTGAGAGCAGATTCTATAGGATGTTGATGTTTTTAGCTCGACTGCTTGACCTACTAACTCTCAGATTTGACTCTCTTAAAAGTTCTCTTTTAACGCGAATTTTAAGGTTTTGTAAATTGTACTTTGTCTCCCTTGTCTGTAACTTTGTGTTTTTCTGTAGTCTTGGCCAGGTCTCCCTTGGAAAAGAGGTTCTTAATCTCATTGGGGCCAACCTGGTCGAATTAAGGTTAAATACATAAATACAAAGTTATTGAGTTGTCTGAAGAATATTACTGAAGAGGTTACTCATCCTACCTCCTGCACAGATACTAGAGGGCTCAGCTGCCAGGATCTCAATACACGACTTCTTCAGGATCTGAGGAGAATAGGACAAAGGTAATGCAGAGCTCATCAATAAAGGTCTGTCTATTCAGCAGTCAGCCAGAAGATCTCAAAAGTTGGAGCTTTTTTTTTTTTTTTTTTTACAAAGCAACATGTAGGCTTTTAAAAATATCCTTTATCATTACTATTTGAAGATTCTATTTTGTTGCTTGCACAGTTAGTACAGCGTTTATCTCTTTCCGATTGTGATTATCTATACTCTCTAAACTGAAAGACTGGTTTACATTTGTCACAGGGGTCTGATGGCTTGAAGTTTCCGTTTATTCTCATTTCTGTACTGCAGATGGATATGCACCTGCTGCTCACAAGGAACAAAGTCATGGTTATCCGGAAGATGAAGAAGAGTGACTCGTGAAGGGCTTCACGCTCAGATAAATAAGAAATGACATCTTTCAGGTTGCCGCTAATCTGTTCCAGATGATGGACAGCTGCCAGACCTTTAACTCTGCTCACAACTTGTACCCTTTTGACGACAGCGGTATTACAACAACATGTTTTTTACTCATCAAAAACAACCATTTAAGTCATCATCACCAGGTGGGTCTTTAGAGATAAAAACCTTTTGATAATGTTTAAAAGACTTCATTCATGATGATGAAAAGTGAGAAAGTCACAGTTGCAGTAGGTTATCATAGAATTCGTCTGGCATGGACAAAATTACTTATCATGCTTTAAAACTATTTTGTATTCTGTATCTGTTTGATCACTGTGTTTGTAGATTAAAGTAGAGGTGACTAAAGCAAATACATGATGTTAAAGTAATATGACATCATGCTGACCTCTAAAATAATTGTGACTGTTTCTGATAGAGTAAGACTATATTTGACTCGTGGGTGCTGTTTGAAAATGATTTTGAGCAGAACTGAAACACTTACTGAGTCAATGACGCCTTGCAAGGCCTCAAATCCATCGTTGACAGGGAAGACATGATCCTTACTGTCAGCAATGTTTGCTAGCTGGAGAGAAAATATGTTTTTACAATCAAAAATATTAAGTGCATACTTATTAATCCAAGTCACAGATGTATCTTTGTTAACAGCTTAAATGATTAAAGGGGGACTCATATGATATAATTGAGTTTTGTTAAGACACGCTGTAATCCGTAAACTGCCAAAAACTTAAATGATGATGTATGTAAGACTTTTAATATGGTTGTGGATTTCTTTTAATCTGGGCTAACTTTGCCTTTAAGAAATAAAAATGACTTTGTAACTAAAAAAAAAATTGTTTCAGTGTTTTACAAATACTTTTTTAGGAGCTTAAAAAATACAATTATCATTTTTTTCTCTGTGTAGTTTAAACATCATGACACTTTAACAGTAAAAAAAAAAACACACACCTGTGTCTCATTGAAATCCTTCACCCCCACGCAGTAAACAGAGGCACCCAAACTTCGGGAGCGATTGGCCTGTAAGGTATGGAAAGATTCAGAACAGAAACAGGTAAGCTTAGCAACTGGGTTCAACTATGATCAGCATTTCATAACATTCAAAAGGCTCATATTTGCCCAGCATCTGACAAGAGTTTACAAGAAGCTGGGCAACACCATTAACAATTGAGACATCATAAAACAGTAGAAACATCACATAGATGCATGAATGCCAAACAGATCAGACAGATATTTTATTTTTAAGTAGTAATGCCTCTGTGTTGAATGACAACCTCAGAACTCCCACAGCTATCAAGAGCAACATTTCCAGCTACTGAGAGCTTCATCCTTCTGGCACAAGATGTGAACGTTTATCTGTCATCTGCATCTTGCGTTTGCACACCTTTATCTGTAGTTTCAGAATAAATCACATGACCTCAGTACATATGCAAGGAAAACCACTGGGCTTCAGTACAGACTCTGTGACCCAATTTTTTCCTGACTCTAGGAGGAGGATCAAAGTGGAGGTGTATAGGCGGGCAAGTTTTTGATCGGGTCCATCATGTGTTGGCTCAAATGTTCCACATGGAAATCATTTGTAACCCATTTAACTTCTCTTTTATCTCTCTCACCTCTCTCTCAGCGTAGTAGAAGAGATCCTCGTGCAGCTCTCCGTCTGTGAGCGCTATGATCACGCTTGCAGTGCGATAACCTGCAAAAAAGAAAGAACTTGGTCACCTTCGCTGCAATTTCACTCATCTTATCCTCCAATATAGCCTAGTTGGATGGCTCAAATTCTGTTCTTACAGCATTACTAAATTACAGGTTGGAAGTCATAAAAATGTAGGCTATACCTGACAATCCTTATCCAACTTTTCCATAGAAAAAAAGAAAATTGATTGTGAAAAACTGGAGGGAAATTTAACCACAGTCAAGTCAAGAAAAAAATAGCTACATTGAGACGACAGCTGATGCTAACAATCACGCACTTCCTGGGTTACCTTTTGTTATTTTACATCACATTAGCTGGTAGGTTGTTACAATTAGTTTTAATGTGTTCCAAGTTAACATTGTTTGATGAATTGAAGCATTTTCTCTTGTTCGATGTTTAAATACCCAACTGTTGGTTTGTAGAATCGCCCTTGCTAATGGTTATATTATCCAGAAACTGTCTGGATGCTAACGTTTTCTGTTATCTGACTGCAGCTAATGGGTCGTTGCTGGGCAATCATTGAGGAAAATAATTGATAACAATTTTCAGAATTACTCAATCTACACGATTACAACCTGGAATACTGCGGTTTGGCATTATAACCTAATTTGAGCTTCCATCTTGAATTTGACCTCAGAGAAATATGACCAATAAGATCATTTTGTCAGTTGCAAATAACCGTGCCTTGTTAAGATTTCTGAAATGTTGTACAATCAGCTGACAACTTAGCATGATTAATTGTAATATGAAACAAAGAAAAGTGATACTGACCTTCAGTGTTTCCATAGTAAATCTGCTCACTGGCCTGAGACAAAAATGAAGGGCTGGTTTGAAACAATATATGATCAATCTTGTGGCATGCAGTCAATTAAGGAACGCCTCTGTTATTTAACACAACATCCATTTAGCTCTCTGGACAGTGTTGTGATTGGACCCAGCACAGAAATAAAGCAGATGCTAATGGGGAGTTTGACATGCAGAGGCTGCTCACCCTCAGGATGCCCTCGTGCATGAAGGTGTCTCCTCCAGGTTGAACCCCCTGCAGCTCCTCTAGACCTTTACGAATGCGTTCCCTGAGCAGACATAAAAATATAGAGGTTAACAATCTCATTTTTTTCTAACATGTTTATTTTGTCAAATTCATTTGTGAACATACTTTTGACTAAAGCCAGACACTTCAAGGCGTGGTAACAATAACAGTTTCCATAAGGACAGAATTTGCAGAAAATACCAGCAATGTGTAACAGATAAGTGAAAAGAAACAGTATTGGTAAAACTGTTATGGAGATAGACAGGAAATTAGCCAAAAAATATATCTTTGTAGAATAAGATACAAGGAAGCAGTGATGCAGTAAAAACATTTTGTGGCCTTTTAGAAATTCAGCAGAAAAAATTCAAGACATGTAAGCTGCCCACAATGTGTCAAAAAGCACGCAGTGAAGTATTTGTCCAGATAGAGGACAGATCAGACGGATCACAGGGAGAAAAAGTATCCAACTGAAATCTCTTCATGGTCGTAAAAAGCAGAGAAATCATAACTTTGTGTAACCTTAGTCCAAATCTGGTATTACACTCATTTCTTGTAGCTGCATGATAGAAAACAAAGGATTAAAAGTCATTTTTTGAGGGGATCTGCACCCACCTGTCTTCTGTCAGGCTCATTAAGATCCTTCCCTCAGTGGAAAACACAATGAAGGACATTCGCAACTGTGGACTGAAGAAAGGAAAGAACTAATTATTCTCTATTAGATAAGTAACATAATTCCATGTTACATCTTTTCCCATGGTCACTTGACTTTTTTTTTACCTTAAGAATTTATGAGCTAGATGTTCAACAAAGCGGTAGATTTCAGTCCAGTGATTCTGCACACTCCCAGATCTGATGAGAGAAATTAAGAAACAAATTAATGTGAGGATTTATTCTTTACTGTTGTGATAGATCGACTGTATACGTGACTTCTCATCTGTGCTACTATTGAACAATATGCCACGGTGTATTAAACTACTTACAACTGTACAAAGACAGTATATAGCCTTGTACCCCTCTTATATTGAAGTACCACTGACTAAAAGAGACACAAACAACAAATGGACGTGTCTCTGTTTTGTGTCCATAGCTGTTTGTTTCTACTTGTAGTTGTTTGCTTTTATCTGGCATCTCTAGTTTGCATCTCTCTGTGGTCATTTTGTGTCCCTTTGTACTTGTTTTTATCCCTCTTGTACTTTTATGTGTTTTTTAGGTCTTTTGTGTATCCTACATTTCTGTTTGTCTCTCAGTTTTGCATCTCTTTAAAGTCATTTTGAGTCCCTTTGTTCAACTTTTTTGTCCCTTTGTGATACTTTGTGTGTTTTGTTGTTCTTCATGTAAATGGTGAATTTACATGAAGAACAACCGCCCACGTACAGGGGTAAACCAAAAGCTTCTAGGCTAGACTGGAGGAGGTTGGGGTGATGTTACCAGCAGCTGTGGAGTGTGAGCAACATTGGTGTAGGAGGAATCAGTGAGAAGGAAGCTGTGATTACATGGACTGCCTTGTGAGAATTAGCTGTGATTGGTTTGTGAGTGATTAGAGGCAAGGATTCAATCTGCATGCTGCTCGCTGGGGTGTATGACTTGGGAGTCCTGCATTTCATAACTCAAAGCTTCATTTGATCATGTCTCTTTGTAGTATTTTGTGCCACAGTTTGTTGTCATTTTATATATCTTTGTAGTTGTAGTTGCAGTTGCATTTCTTTTTAGTAGTTTTGTTGTCAGTCTCCAACATCCTGATTCACAAAACTACTATAGAGAGAGACAAAATAACTACATTCATCATAACTTTGCAGAGGTTTACTGGCCCCCATTTTGACCTGAGCCCTGTGCCTAGTAGCCCAGTGATCCATTACTGGAATAAACTTTTAATGAGAAAAGAATTTAAAACAAATGTAAAAAGAGGAGTAACAACAGTTTCTTACGCCTCAGATTACAGTTTTTCGTCATTTAATACACCTGCAATACTGCACATACATGTTTTCAAAGTCAAATCAGTTTTCTACATTAAGCTTTCCTACTGCTCTTGGGTTACAACTAGCTCTCTTTCTGCCTCTCTCTCTCACACTGTCTCTCTCTATCTCTCTCTCCCTCTCCCTCCCTCTCTCCCATCCAGGCTAATCAACTTCAAAATAATCTGGTGCTTTTGATTTTAACTTGATATTTTAATTGGTTTGGATCATCCACACATAAGGAGTTGCCAGCTAGTCTTATTATGCAATTATCTTTAGATAAATAGTTGTATCAGGTTGATAAATAACTATATGGGAGCTTGAATGTATCATTTTTGATGATTATCAAAAAGTCTTTTATCTAAATTTTGTTTTTACTCTGTGCTTCCCTCGACATTTCTCCAAGTGCCTATTTTGCCAGTGTTACCATGACACGAGTCCCACCACAAACAGCCGGCCAACAGGCTGAAACACAGGAACATCTGGAGGTAATGGAGAGAAGGCAGTGCACAGAGAGGGATAGAAATCAAGCAGATACTGTAAGATTCCAGAGAGGGCAGGTGGAGGACATCACAAAGGCAGCAGAGAGCTTAGATCACACCCAAAGAAATACGTTGTTTTTTTAAGTTTAAAGAACAGCCATGCATTGAATTGAAGTCTGATGACAAACGCTGTCAGTGCATGCATGTTATATAAACAATTTGCTTATTTTCCCTCAGAAACACAACAGTGAGGCTGAAGTTGGCACCAACATTTACTGTAGGACAACTGGAAAATCCATCACCAGCTCTGCAGGAAGAGTTACATATTGTAATCCCCAATCCCATCATCAAAATGAGAGAAATGAGTTGAATGATGGTTATTGGGTTGACCTAGTTGGCAAACACTTGGTTAGGTAAGAAAACAAGCTGTTTAAAGTCAGGATTGCAGAACAAAAATGGCATAAGCGAAGTACTCTGTTGCAGTCCAAAGGAAACAGCCTGGCTTAGTTCATTGTCAATGCCAGAGGAGCTATGTGATCATATTCAGCTACAGTTTAAAGTGTGTTCCCTTCTAGTCCAAATCAACCGAGGTAAACACTGTTCATGTGTGATATTCCGACTTGTAATAACCATTTTCACATGACCATAATGACATCAGTTTTACTGAGAAATTATTTTTGTTTCTATCCTTCAGACAACTTAAAAAATGCAAAGAAATCTAATGAATAATTTAATCAATGTGACTGATAAGTTATGGGTCAAAGTTGTAGTTGAATGAAATGCCCACGTTGCATTTCTGACAGGAAACAGAGATAAATGAGAACCAGGTTAGACAAACATGGAAAGTATTTCCAAATCCAGAGCAGTGTCTCCACATTACGTTGAAGGGATGCCAAACATCCTGTTTCCTTCTTCTGTTTGCGGCTCATTTATGAATTTACCTGGAAGCAATTTTGGATAAAGTCTACTTACATGGCATAATTTATGTTAATGATGAAGAACACCGAACACAGCAGTCAAGTCTGCTTCAGCCGACTGTAGCTGACTAATGGATGGGGGAAACCCTACCAATAATTAAGACCATCTGAGGATGTATGCAAAGCTGAAATGTGGATTAAGAATACACAGTAAGTAATGCATCATCAGTCTGTCAGTAAATATATGACACCAGGGGCTGTGATGACATTTCATAAATGATGATGACATGATGATAATATTTTGGCAGACAGGAGAATCCATTAAACAGCATGAATGAATGCATATTAACTTCATGCATTCATATGCATTCATTAAAATGCATAAATCAATGCATCATGAAACCTGAGAAGAGGATTCAAATCAAGCTCAATAGGGTAATACACAACAGATTTATCATAGACTTTGAAAGTTAAATTAACTTTTCAACAAAGACCATCCTTATCCTCCCCCTTTAAATATGTCAGGTAGTGTGTGTCAGGTAACTCACTTGTCCAAAACAAAGTAGAGATCAAAGCCTCCGAAGCATGAGGAAGACCCAGCCTGCCTACTGTCTAGATTTGGTCCAGCATTACCAGCAGCAAGAACAACCAGCACAGCACCAAATACCACTGACAACCAGGAGCCTCTGCAGCAGGAATGCATTATTCCAGTAGAAAAAGCTTGAATATAGGATGAGATGATGAATTAAACCAACTTTGGTGGGAGAAAATCAGTTAATCCTTCATGCAGGTCTTCTTTCAATCCTCCTCAGGTATCTTCATCAAAAAAGCGATATTCCAAAGGGAAGCAGTGACTGTAACTGAAGTGGAGCTGAGTGAGCATGACAGTTGTTGGGACCCTCTCATCATCACTGGATCAGACACAGCATGCACATGGATGAGAGGAGCTCCACCAACCCCCACTGCTGCTTTTTCTTTCTCTAAGGACAAGGCCGTGCAACATAGAGATCATCAGACCATGGATGTCTAAGAGTCTTTGCAACACTTGCCTGGTTATTCAAGTCTCTCTATCTTTCTTTCTCTCACTGTCTCTCTCTCCCTGTTAAAATACACTTACTCTAAAGAGAAAGAGAGCAGTTAAAAGTTTCAGGTGAAAAACCAGAGTGTACTGCCACCTGGTGGTCATAAGTAGACGCTTTTACCGTACGCCAAGAAAGATCATTTTAAATATAACCTCAGTGAACCTGAACATATTTAGGAAATAAAGGAATGATTTGCTTGCACAAACATAAATTCTTTGCTTGTATACATCAATAATTTTTTTGTTTGCATATAAATAAACATACTTTCCTTTCACATACACATAGGCTACTCAAACTAAACTCTTGCAAAAACATACACTGTTAAGATTTATTTATCCAGGTAATTGACCCATTGAGGGCATGATCTCTTTCACATGGGTGACCTGGCAAAGAGGGCAGCAGCACAATTCATAAACATTACATGATCAAGAAACTGTTTACAACCATTAAGTTCAGAGCAAAACACAATTAAAATGTGCATATTGTTGTGTGCAGGAATTGCAGAAGATGTAAACACAGATAACAATTTGAAAACACAGGCACTGCCCAATGTTGTCTTTTAAGATATAGAGCCAAAAGCTTCAAGCAACGAGAATATTTGAGGTAAGAAATGGCATTGAATTTTAATATTTAGATTTATACGAACATGAGCCATTCCAGGGCTGTCATCCACATCTCTCTGGGCCCCATAGAGACACAGAAACCTCAGGACAGTCAGACCAAGTCTAACCTAGGTGAAATATGACTTTTTTTGTATTTTATTGTCATTTCTGTTCTATCAGTGTTCCTGAGTGATACAACATTATGTATTTACGGCTGCTCTGAGAAAGTTAGTGTGTATAAGATCACATTGGTAAGAGAAAGCTTGGACTGAAAAAATGTTGACCCACATATTTTTTTTTTCTTATTTTTTAAGAACCGTACGTAGCTCAAGGAACTACAGATTTTTGGACTTCCGCATTTGCTGTATTTTTCACACCTGAGGCTACTTAATTTCAGTCAAGCTGCTCTGTTTTCAATTAGGGTGCATGTTAACAAAACAGAGCTTCAGGATTGCCAACATAAGCAGGGCATGTCACACGTGTATCGGGAGTCTCAAAAGTAAAAATGGAAAAATGAAAAGAAAAAAAGCGAATCTCAGAAGTGTTGAAAATGTAAGCCAATACGGAAGTGCAAAATCCTAGAGATCGTAGAGTGTCCACTTGACGGTCGCTCCAAGAGCCCCGGATGTCACATACACACCACATTCAAAAAGGCCAGTTCTTTAAACCAGAAATGAACATGTTTACAGCCTGGTTAAAAAATTAAATGAACATTCTTTTCTCCCCTGCATCTTTTCGTTTATAAGATAGCCTACATTCATGCACAGCCTGCTCCGACCTCCACCTCAGCGGCAAGGAAGTGTGGAGAACAGGAACGTGAGAAATACGCCTACAAAGGAGAAATCCTTCTCACATCTCATCCCATCTCCCCCATCTCATTTTTGTTAACAATGAGTATGGTCTTTTATCTGCTCTTTTGTAAAGCGTCTCCAGATAACATTAAATATGAATTGGCGCTATACAAATAACAATTGATTGATTAATTGATTGATATGCAAAGACAGAGGTTGACACTAAGTGAAGTGGCTTTTCAAGACCCTTGGCCCCACTCTTGTAACTGCTGGCCCAGGAATATTAGGCCTATGTTTTATTTATTAGCTAACTTACCTTATCCTTTCTATACTTTACTTAGCCTATGTGTCTTTATATGTCGGCACTGATTGGCAGATATGGCAATAAGCTAATTTTGATTTAGCCTACATCATGTTCAAGGCGAATCCAGCGGTCTTGCCAAGGGGTCGAACTTGTTCTTCCTGTTTTCATACTTTGTCACGCTCCGTCGATTCTTCCGTTGATTTTCTTTTGTTTAGATATTTTTTCCTGGCTTTTGGCTTGGAACTGTTAGTTTTAGAAACAATGTTGCCATAGTCTTCTACTTTATGAAAACCTGTGCTACAATCCATCTGAATGTACAATCCAAGTGTAGTGAGCTGTGCAAGTGAAGCTGTCAGAGGCAGCTGCCATGACACGCATGTGCGGATGCTAATGAAATGTTCATGCTGTAGCAGCAATAAACAAGATCTCTCATGAATCACTGAAAACACCAATATAACTCGAAAAAGATGTGAAATTATAAATGATTTGTTAAGTGTGTTTAAGTGTGCCAGTGGAATGGGTAATCAGGTGGCGACGAGTCTTTTAATTGTGTGTGAGCAGGCCATATCAAGGCCTTAAAAAAAAAGAAAAATCCTCAATGGTTTTTTTTGTTTTTTTAATTTAAAAAAGCATTTTCTGAGCAGTACATTCTGTTTATTTGTACACTTCAGACCAGTGTACTATTTTCCAACTGCACCAAAAATCATGCATTGAACAGTTGGGTTATTCCTTTTGAACACTTTGTATTCACATGCCACTGGATCAAACACTGACACGCAGTCATCCGGGAACGACCTGGGGGTTGAATACCTACAATCACAGTTCGAAACAGTTAATATTACAAAATGTAAATGTGTCTATAATTTAAATATTTTTTTCTTTCAGAAGAATCTGAAATGTTGTGATATATCTACTTACGCGGCACAACATCCACTACAAGAACAGTCCATACATTCACTGTTTCTCCAGTTAGATCCTACTGCATGCCATGTCATATCTGTATCGTCTTGGCAATGGGTCATGCCTACAAAAAAATGTATCCACAGTTATTACATGGCATCCTGGGTGAATTTCAACTATATTTTGGATTTGAGGATAACTTGTTATATATTGTAGGGCTATAATTGATGTACAGAATCAAAAAGCTTTATGCGTGCACAGGTTCCTGTGTTACCTGGTTTTAGGGCCTTAGAGTAGCATTGTGCATTTGACATGGACAAAAGTGCACATAGCATCAGAGATAGAGCCACACATTTCTACAGAAGGAAAATAGAAACAATGTTTTAATATTTTACTGCAGCATACTGAACCCATATGTTCATATGCTATTTGGCAACTTGGATATTCATGTGATTTTTAGTTAGGCTATTTTATTAAACCACAACATGAGACCCCTGCTATATAGACAGTTCACTAGATTGTTATACAGTTTTCTTAACATCCATGATTAACATGACTTTATCCAAACATAACACAAAGACAGCTCCCAAGAACAAATGGTAACATCACCAATCATCAATTTTTAAAAAACTCACCATGGTTGCAGGAAATGAATACCTGTCTCTAGTGAATCCTGTTTGAGTAAAACGATAAATTTATTGTTCAAGCAGATCAAGCAGAGCGCTGTCCTTTAAGTAGTGTGTCTGCAGGGACTTTGGATTCAAATAACAGGAAGGGGGTTGTCAGTTTACAAGAGGTCACAGCTGTTTGTTTAAATCTTAAAAGGAAAAAAAGAGAACATACAGGTTAATCACACAATTTGAAAAAGATAGTTCACAGAGTCACTGCTATTAGGAATATGTTATGCTGATTTGAGGTTGAATTTGAATATAAAATGTATTCATTTGTTGTTTGCATTGGACCACCCCTCAGCCTTAATTAAGAAAACATGTTGGGATACCATCAGTTGACACATCATGACCGGAATGATCATCTTATCATAAACTGTCTGGATCATAAGAATAAATAGACTAATTGTTAGTACGTCTTTTCATGAATTCATTCATCTTGATAATTTTGTGGATAAATCAGTGAATTGTGTCAACCATCTTAGGGTAATTCATCTTTTGGTTCTGTGAAGCTGTAACCTGGTGAAACATCTAAATTGTAGCAGATCTATGTTTGGATAGGAGCCAACCATATGTTGTCAACAACTGTTACGTATACAAATCACTGTCATGTCATCTTTATTACTTTAAAGTGATGTACCCAAATGGAAAGGAATTTGTGGGCTATACCTTCTAGTAGAATATAAGCAACACTGTGTGATGAAGACTTTGCCCATGATTGCCAATGATTGTGAGATCTTGGTCAGCATGGGTCAGCAATGGTCTGCTCTTTGCCAGCCATGTGTGTTGTGTTTCTATGTTGTCTGACCATGGCTGAATAAATCTAAAGTGATCCACAGTCTGTTTTACGGTTTCATCATTGTTCATCTACTACAGAAATAACCCCCACCTAACACTGATAATACTGTATGTTCAGAGCACTTTTCAAGACAGAAACTCAAAGTGCTTTACAGAAGCAATTTAAAAGTGCACATACAAAAACAGCACAAGTCAGACATACACAGATATCCTTTCTCTCCCACAAAAAAATTAAGCTGATTTAGGTCGTTGTTTGCTTTCAATACCATCTTTTGATAAATCTATCCCTTTTCAGCACTGGGCAACAGAAACCCTGTTTTCAACTGAAACTCTTTTTTCCCATGAGATTGAAAACACAAAATAATAACTATTTCTCACATGGGAATTGTTTTGGAATTTAAAAAAAAATATAGGCCTAAATTAAAATAATATATATAAAAACATATATATTTTATTTAGTTTGTCAAAATTATAGAACAAAGACATCCTGACAGGGCAGGATAAAACACACCAAGACAACCATGTGCAACAAAACAAAACATAAACAAACAATAAAAGACAACAGTGGTAGCCTCGTTCTGTGAGGAAGGCCCTGAAGTGAAGACCTAACCGATCACGCCTCAGATCAGATGCCCAGCTGCCCCTCAGCAGGACATGGCTTGGACAGAGACATGGAAGGAGAGGGGGTGGGGGGTGACTATTCTAAATTACATGGTTAGAAAAATGATAAAGAATACAAATTGATCCATATACATACATACTACTACATGTATACATATGCATGCACAGTAATAAATAAACAAATTCATTTACCACATATATATTGGTTTCAGATTGTGATATAAAATGGGTGTGTTTAAAAAAAGAAAGAGAGAAGATGCATATACTTAAAAATATACCATAGACTGTACATATTAAGATACATACGCATACACATGTAGGCTACACATACCATGTACATATCCATAATAACCTCCAGGATGTTAAACAACAACATCTAAGTATAGTTACATTACACATTTTTAAGCCAGACAGGATAAGGCTCAAAGAACGTCCTAGGTCACTGCCCAGATCTTCAATAAAGGATGATGCTTGCTCCATAGACATCAACTCCAAGTAGTCTTTAAGTCAGCTGTCCATGTCAAAACAATTCGGCTTTCTCACCTTCCAATTAATAAGTGCTATCCGTTTGACAGATAGAAAAGCTAATCCAATCAAGTGTTGTTATTCTTTTGAAGGTACCCCATCTATCTTATTTCCCAGTATACCCACTTTTGGACTTAATGTGAAGTTTAAGTATTTTGCACAGAAGATCTTTCACATTGATCCAGAATTTCTGGACCCATGCCAGCACAAATCAGAAACATTACAGTTCATTTTTCTTCAATTTGTGTGGGGTGATAGGCTATATGACCGCCACAGAATTTTCATTTTGATAATTTTGTAACTTACACATTTTGAGAGGTGATTTAAATGACTCAGTATTGCATTCCACTGATCTGTTGTGGTGTACACCCAGATCTTTCTCCAATTGTGCGAGCATAGATGTGTTACAATAAGCAAAGGAATGACACAGTAATTTGTACAGTTTTGAGACAGTTCCTCCAGTGGCTGCATCTTTTAATTGAATTTCCATTTTTTTATTGTCCAGAGTGATGTTTTTAATTGTATAATTGTGCAGTATAGATTTCAGCTGTGAATACTGAAAGAGGTGTGAATTACTTAAACCAAAATGTATCTAAAATTCATGGAAGCTATATCTCCATCTTTTAATGACTGATCAAGCACAGGAATATTTTAGTTTTGTCATATGTTTTAGAAATTAACAGCGTATTTTGTAGCGAGAGGATGTGAAATGTACCACACTGTGGTGGAATCATGGACCGTAAATATTAACAGTCTATGGTGTTGGAATACAATTAGGCTGTAGGAATCCAGTCCACGTTTTGCGTCATCCACTGACGCGCCACAATCTGGGTTGCCAGTTTTTGCTGCAATGACGCCCCAACTGTCTGTCGTTTTCTAACCGCTCTGTAAAGGGAGGATATGGAGTAATACATGGCAACAAACCACACAACAGAAGGAAGGGAAGCTTGTACGCACATTATATTTGTGCTGTCTATAACCTTTTAAATGAACAGAGAAGTGCCTTTTGTTGATCTTACTTGTCTCGACAGAAGTGTTTTAAGCGTCAAGACAAACATGGAGCTATAAAATAAAAAGGTGAGCCTCAGCAGTCAGCGATAGCGCCTTTTAGTACGCGGTTAGCCTGCTAAGCTAATGTTAGCATGCAAGGCCAGCCCACGGCCGTAGGTCCCCTTACATAGCTGTGAAATTAATGATAAACATTGAGCTAGAAATCACGTGTAGTGGATGTGGAAATCACAAGTAAGCGCTTTTTAATGTTTGGCTTAGAAGTCGTATTCCCTAACAGGTCTCCATATTGTATAATCCACTTTACAGTGAATGTTTTTAATCTAATAAGGTACATTATGTTTCAGTAATGGGCTGTCTGTGGATACGTGTATGTATGAATGTCACGTTGTAATAGGGCTGTAACAAAGGTCCCTAACTTCATGATTTACAGTTTATTTACTATTTACCAGAAAGTCCATTATACCATCTTTAAACGTGTTTTTACCTGCAATTCAAAACCTAATGAGATCAAATGTTGTTTTATAGTAAAATGCAATTTGTTTGAAGAAATCTCTTATTTATTATCCAAAAATTGTAATTAGTATTATTTTTTTTGCATTTTTTTTTGCATTTAAACGTGAAAAATATTGTTTAATTGTTGAGTTTTTAGTGCTATTGCAGCAGATGTAGATTCAGCATAAGAAAATCATGTTTATCTCATAGTATGAAGGGTTGTTTCTGTCAGAAAGTAGGCCAATTTCATGAGGTTTGACACTCTTAAAATCACATTTGTTTCCATGTAGATAAATATTTTTGCATGTATCTTTAGATATGTGTGTGTGCATGTAATATTTTAAATTAAGCTCAACCTGCAAGCATCGATTTTGATTTCTTTCTTAGACGTGTTTTTGTTTTGTACGCTCACATTACCTTAAATATGTGGCTTACCAAACTCCTGCGTGATCTGGTCATCGTCCTGAACTGACCTGCCTGCCCAAATGAACAAACACTACATCAAGAAGAACAAAGTGACATCCTTTACAGTTACCGAGGTTAACTTCAGGGTCGACTCTGGTTGTTCACTTCTTACTTGGGTAGATCACTATGGTTACTTATGCTGAACATAACCTACTCCTCAGCGTGAAGTTCGAGATCATGTTCAAAATAAGAAATCTAGTCTGCTCACTGACCATCAGATCTCTTGAGCTGAGTATGAGAGGGGAGGAGAGAGATGCTGTGTTTCCCGTTAATATTCTGCATAGTCTTCAACTACGTTTTCCTATTAATTTTTACAAGAAATATAATTAGAATGTAAGAAATATATTATATTAAACATTCACACATGCCACAAAGATTAAAAAATATATTTAATTCAAGGGGAGAAACAGGATTATATATTTGGATCTGTTGTGCACTAAGTGACATTATAAGCCTTTCACTGTCACATTTTTTTCTCCGCAGTTTTTGCTGCATTCATCGCTGCAACTGTGTTTTCATTTTGGATTATGTATTTAACTTCTTTATATTGTTTTTAAATCACAGTTTGCTCAGAGCTTGTAAAATGTGACAATCTGCTGATGGCGGACTTGTCCATGATTGTGAAAGCCTGGGTCTGTTGAACACAGTTTGTCCCTCTGGTTCTGCCACCTAGTGACATCAAAGTTGCATGCAATCCGACCTGGCTCTTCAGACTAAGGTCACATTGTAAAAGGTCCAAATTGTGGATCCACAGATGAAAGTGGCCCCAATCTTATTTGTAAAATTCAGATTCCCTATGAAAATTGATCTTGGTGGATTTTGAATACATGTTTTGTTTGTCTTCTAAACATCTCTCCTCTAAGTTTCTTTTCTTTTCTTTTGTGCTAGTTTGGTCAGCACTGACAAGATTGTTTGAGCCCTTCCCAGGGCCCATTGGGCCCAGGAAGAGGATGCAACGAGGTGGGGATAAGGATTTCCAGTTATCGGCACGAAAGATGGGGACATCCCTGCTTTTCCAGCTGTCAGCTCATGAGAGAGAGCTGGATTTGGTTTTTCTGGACCACAGCTATGCCAAGCCATGGAACGCCCACCCAGATGCCAGCAGCGCCCGTCCCACAAGGACGCTGTTTGTTACCCCTCGTCGCC